TGGAGCCACTCTTTTCGTGCCGCAGCCCGCTGTTGCGCAATCTGCTTCGACAGGTCCCTTCTTTCCCGTCCGAAAACCCTCTTCCTTTCTCGGATTAAACCCTTGATTTCCGTCGAGTCCTGGTACCTGCATGAGACCGCTCGCTGACACGAAGACGATGCTGCAGTTTCCAACATGTTTGGGGTTAGGGGCTCGTCATTAAGCTCGATGCCAGTCGCAAGTTTGTTGCAGCTGTCCAGGGCCTTAGTCGGGTCGACCCTCCACTGGCCACATTTGTGGCGCGGACGTCCTCTTCGGGTTCGTTGGGATGGCATCCCCCGAACAGTGACTGAGACCGCCCTATGGTCGCATTCCAGGGTTTTATCCGTGTCGACATGCACTGCCTGTCCTAAACAGGTAAGCCTCGGGGTACGGTAGGCCACGAAGTCTATTCTCGAAGAGGCTCCTCTCGAGTTGGACCACGTGTGTTCATGGGGGGTCGTAAGGTCTAATCCGTGTTGGCGCAAAAAGGTGTGGAGGATAGGCCCCCTTGCATCTGATTCCTGTGGCACTAATTCGCTTAATTCATAATTGGCATCCATGCAAAGAAAAACAGAGTCCTGCAAACGTGCACATTGCAAGAGCTGCTCTAATTCAAGGCAACTTCTTTGTGTGACTTCCATGGCGTCTGGTCTCTGAGAGTGTGGAAGGTGCAAACTAATTACAAATTCTTTGGCACCGGCATTCTGAGTTTGTACAGCGAGTCCTGCAGACAGCGCGTGTACTTTACGTACCTGCGAGGCTTTCGTGGTGGGGATGCCAACTCCTACCCCTCTAAAGGCGTCCTGCGGCGTGGCACCGAAAAAGGTGAAATTCTGTTGGCCCAGTGTTACTTCAAAGGGGGCCCAGTTCTCAATCTGTCCCAACCCTCCCAGCTCCTGCAGTGCAAGGAAAGAAGCGCCTTCTAGGTCCACGACATCCCATACGTTGGAGATGTCCTTCAAATGCTTCCCTTGCACATTCCAGGAAACTGCTTGAAGGATTGGGGAGGCTCCCTACTCTCGCCGGTTGATGCGGTTAGTGGTTCCCTCCAGGTCCAACCACATGGCCTGCAACTTCGAAGCATCATGTCCCGTGTACTCTGCGAACTTGTCTGCCCTGACAAACCATGGGGTGTGATTGCCGCGCGAATCCTCAATCATTTGGTCATAAGCATCAGGGTTCTCCGTGTCCATATGCCCCAAAAATTGCAAATTGCCTGCAAAAACTTTTCCCCGCCAGTCAATTTCGGGGGGGCTCATTCGTTGCTTAGGGTGTGTGGGAAGGTTCGGGACGTGTTGGAGGAATTCCTTGCATACGACCAAGGCCCGCACCTTCTGCCTTTCCTCGGGGCTGCGATGTCGGGTGACCCACAGCGCCTTATCTTTGGACCCTTCAACCCCCGACGTCCATTTGTGCTCCTTGAGCTTGTTGATGACCTCCGTTTGAAAGCGCCTTAGTTCGTACACCGGCGCTTCCTCGTCTGGGAAGTTGAGTCGGACTCTCATGAAGCTCGTCCTGGAGTAAGGCGTGAAGAGGTCCTTCCAGGCACTCGCGAGTCCAACAGCCTCGAAGAGGTTCTTCACCTCAGTCTCTGCGTCTGTTTTGCGAGCGTCCTGCCATCCACCGACGACAACGTCAAAATCCTCAAGTGAAAGGGACTGCCTATCCGGTTTCGGCGAGGGGATAGTCCTCGGGGACATGGATCGTTGCCGGGGAGGCGTGTGATTTCGCTGCGGGGTCGGGGACCTACTCGCATGCTGCTGAAATTGCTCTTTCAAGGAGGCCACATCATGAGTAAGCTTCTCGATTTGCAGTTGGTGAGCTGTCACCACCGTCGTGTGTTCACTGGTAGCTTTTTCTTGGAGGTCTACTCTGTTACCCTGTCTGTCCACTTCCAGGGCCAGCCCCAAGACGTCCCTGTGGTGCGTGTCTTGCTTGTCATGGAGGCTCTGCATGGCCCCGAAAAGGCTTTGGACCCATTCCGGCTGTCCATCTCCCACCCCCAACGGCGGCCGGGCACCCCCATTACTGTCATTTGTGTGCGTGCTGCTGAGGGCAACTCTGGGAGCGTCAACTTTAGGAGCGTGCGGTTCCTCACTCATGGTGGGGACAGGTCTTGCGGGCGCAGGGGCATAAAGCAGCTCGTCCGAAAGGTGGCTGCCGCCCACTCCCACCTGCGAGTCCTTGACTGTCTTCTGCGTTGCTTCGTCCTCATCTGTCGTGGTGGACAAGTCAAAGAACGGGACCCTCTCCACTCCATCCTTTGCTGGGGCCCCCCCATCCGGGGCTACTCCGGGGGTAGGCACCCTGGGAGGGGGACCAAAACTCGAATGCATAGCCAACCGGGGGGAGCGCTCTCATGTTCATGTTCGCAGGTCCCGGTGCGTCTTCTATGCCCGTCATGTCTTCGTCTTTCTCTTGCTCAATTTTGGGTTTTTTTGCACGGAACTCTTCTTCACTAGCAGTGCCGGGTGCAGCCGATTGGTTTGCACGTGGCAAGCCCGGATGTTCAAGCACCATGGTGTGCCTAGAGGGGGCTTCTTGTCTATCAGTCCTCTCTTTAGTTTTATCTCTCTTCCTGTCCCCAAACGTCACGTCATGGCTGTCAGAAGTGTCGGTCCTCTTCGGCGGCTCTTTCCCTCTCTCACCTTCCTCGGGATTGCCGAGTACGGGGCGCGTAAGAATTTTTTCTAAGGAATCCACTGGCCCTCTCTCCATCCCCAGAGCAGACGTCCCCCTACATGCAGCGGCGTGGGCGGCCTCGTCATCAGCTTCCGACCCAGTCGACCCAGTAGTCGCCTTGTTGCCAACGCTCGGCAGAGCCCTGGAAGTCCCAGCAATCCCAGTCCCTCCACTCCCTCCGCCTCTCGGTTGCGCGCCTTCGGGTCTGTCCTTTTTCTTGATTTTATCAGACTTGCCCCCCTCCCCTTGGACCGGCTTGGAAAGCATGGTTTCGTCACAAAGCACAAAGCCTCTCTCTCACCTCGCAGACTCGCTCTTTCTCTTTACGAGATCTGGGGGGGGGTTAGGGGGCAAGAAAAGGATTTGTAGAAAGCAAGAAAGGAAGGGGCCCCAGAGAGCAGCTCGGAGATCAGCCCTTGTCTTCCCAAAGAACTCACAAGATGAAAGGAGGGAATGGAGAGAACGTAAGGACTCAGAAGGCCCTAAAATGCAAGAAACCCTGTCAAAGCGTGGGGACAACGATGCGGCTTTCAGAGTTCAGATCTCGAGCCTTGAGCCAAAATGGGAGAAAAAACACATTCGCCAACAATCTCAATTTCTCAATTTCTCAAATTCTCACTATGCACAAAGAAGCAGCTGAAGATCGAGAGCCTTTTCTGCTGAGAGTCGCAGGCTTCTAGCAATCGCCATCGCTCGCGCTGCTGGCCCACTCTACTTCAGAACTTGCGGATAGGATCATCACTTGATGGGCAAAATCGCTGCGCGAAGTCGCACCTCGCAGTGCAAGTTTGCTAAGATCTTCTCGCTCAACGACACGCTCTTCTGAAAGCCGAAGGTACTCAGAGCTGTAGATTCTGATATTCCCCGAGACGCCAGCTCTGAAGCGAGATGATGTTGCCTCGCATAAGGCTGCTTTGGCCCGCTCGACAGAGATGGTACTTTTGAATTTCTTGTACTGCCAAGCCAGTTCAATTTGTAAAAGCGCACACATCAAAGTCAGATAGTCAGGCCTGGTGACCGTGCGAGTGATAGAACTTCCTTCTATCAAAGACAGCTCTGGTGCTGTAGTTTGCCTGATTCTCTTCATCAGATTTGCGCTTGTCGAGATTGAACAAGTTCCAAAAAGCCCAAGAGACTCTTCTGTGACATACAACCAGTCAGAATCTACGATGACGATCAAGTCTCCACGATTCCAAAACACGTGAGGAGTGACTAATCTCGCTTCATCTTCTATCTTGCGATCTTCATCCGGGAAAGAAAACGCAAGATGAGCGTAATCCCTAGAGCGGCCTGGACAGCTGTTTGAGCACTTGATTCTCGCATGGAAGTGAAGGCAGCACTGATTCAGGTCTTTGAGATCCGTGGCGTAACTCACCCAACCTAAGCTAGATCCCAGCGAGCACCTTACTGAATTGAGACCTTTACAGCTAATCAATTCCTCGAGATCTGACCAAGCAGAGCAGTACACTCCTTCGCGTTCTGGAAGTTTGGCTGGCCTAGACTCAGTGCTTAATAGCTTCTCAATCTCATGAGTTGAGAAAGCCGAAAGCTTTCGATTGCGAAGATCTCGCCTGTTCTCTTCGAGAGAATTTCCATCTGCCAAGACTTCGCTTTTGCCTTCTTGAAACTTCAGGCCGCTTCTCTCTTCTTGGTCGATGAAATGCTTAGCACTTGCTGATTCGCCAGTCAGATCTTTGTCACTTCTGAAAGATCCCGCTGAGGATTGCTGAAGAGCTGATACGGTCAGAAGTGGCTGATGCCCAACTGGGAAGACGACCTCCTTCCTCATTGCTGCGTCTGCGAACTTGAGAAATTGAGGAAGAGAGAGACTGAGCAGGCTGCGAGGGTGTTTTATCTTGAGCCATTTTGGTTTAGGGTTTAGGGTTTAGGGTTTAGGGTTTAGGGTTGGTTTAGGGCATAGCTGAACCTTGAACCCGGGTGGAGCGGCCTAGTTCTCCGAAGATCTCAGGCCCAAACACTTCACCCAGCTCCTGGGCTTCGGAGCAGGGACTGACCCTGGGCAACCCAAACGCCCAACTAAACCCTAAACCCTAAACCCTAAACCCTAATAGTTGGGCACTTGTGACCTTAGTGCTCTAGGGGTTCTGGCATGGTAGCAACAAGGGGTGCTGCATGTGCTACGGTTTAGGGTGTATGGCACGGCCCCACAGTAGCTGGACGTGTCGCTCAGCAGGGCTTCTCTTTTTCTGCCCACTCGACTCTGAAACAGGATGAAGATCCGAGGCAGGGATTCTGATGTCAACTCTGAGACGCGATGAAGAACCACGGTCTGGAGTCTAACTCCAATGAGAGATCTTCGCAAGCTCCTGGGTCAGCTCGTCCTTGTCCTTTGCCTAGACTCCCCTTAGAACCTTAACAAAAACAATATTGCTAATATCCGCTTGGGTTTTATATGAACATAAAAAATCCCAAAAGGGATATAGTTGCAAGAAGCGCGAGGCTCACGGGTGGTTCGAGGCTGTCTTGGACTCCCGCCGCCGCGCTCATGTAGATCGACTTTGCGGGTTCCGTGGCCGCGTCCGGACTCCTATACTGATCTTGGAACCATTTTTAGCTGTTTTTCTCATATCACAGGGCCTAATAGCCCTGAAAATGGCCCTTTGTAAGGTGGATTATGGGGATTATCGTACCCAAAGATGCAAAATGATTCGCAAAAATCCCTAAGACTCCAGTTAACGAAGACCATCTCATTGGGCATGTGGACCACGACATAGCGCGGCTCGGTGTCAGGCATGGCATTAACGAGGTCCTGGAATTCCTTGGTTTAGGGTTCAGGGTTTAGGGTTTGGGGTTTAGGGTTATAAAACCCAAGTATACTGTACTTATAAACCCCTGAGTCCCCTAAGTAGGTTCTAAGTAGAGGTCGAATAAGGGCCATAAGCACCCATGAACCTCCAAGTGGTTCCTCAGCAACCTTGGGCAACCTTTTTTGCATTTCATTGGGTTTAGAAGGACCTCGAAAAAAGGGATAAGGGCACTACTGGGCATCCTAGTATCGCCTGCCTCCTCGACCATGGGGTTCGTCACGAGCTGTGGTGGGATTACACCGATTTCGAGCTCGAACATCACGTAGCTGAAGGGCCGAGCCTCGGCAAGCTCGACCTCATGCATGGCATCATCGTCTTTCACGCCGCTCCCGAAAAGCTGAATGAAGGCCTTGGGCAGCGAAGGAGAGACCGTGTCTCGATGGAAGAGGCATGCGCACAAGATCGCCGCGACCAGCACGCAACCCAAGGACACCTTGGCACATGGGACCATGCGCCGACCTCCCAGGGTCTTTGCCTGGGACTCGACGGGCGGCGAGGATGTCTTCAGGTGCAAGGAGCAAGTCGTCATCAGCCATGGTGCTGAAAGCCATGCAAGCAAGCCAAGAAGGCAAGATGAAAGCGAGATGCTACAACAACTACGACTCCCAAGCTCGAGCCTTGAAACACATAGGCGACATGTAGTCAGTGCAACAAAATACTGTTAAAAGAAGATGCAGCCCGAGCTGTAAAGTTGGAACTTCTTGGCACAGTCGCGAGGTGGCTGCATTCTGAAGAGCTTAGCAACTAGACTGTCTCGCACGCCCCCGTAAGAGAAAAAGGGGGCCCAACATAACATGATCTTCCAGGGGGTGCTCCGACACCCCTCCCCCGGTTCCCCTCCCCCCCAAGCCCCAAGCCCCAAACCCACAACCCCAAACCCTAACCCCCCCCCCCCCCAAAAAAAAAAAAAAAACAAAAACTGTTCTGGGCTTCCGGGGATGCTGTTACGTCCAGTCACTTGATCCAGCAGCACCACCAGATCTAACTCATCTGCGATGGCCAAGGCTGTCTGAACGCAGCGCAGGTATGGTGAGGAGACAATGATGCCATAGTCGCCGAACCTCGGTGCAACAAATGCAGGATTAGGGGAATTCGTGGCCAAGGCAGTCCCCTCACTGCTTTACAGGGGCCATCAGGGGCCTGTGACCGAAAATGACCACCACCACCACCACCACCACCACCAGTGAACACACGTTGAATCCAATCGGTGGTCTTAACCTGCCAGAGGTTGAACTGCCCATACCTTTGCATGCGCAGCCTGCGGACTGAAGGGCTTAAACAGGCTGGGACAGGCAATGCGCCTGTCCCGGCATGGCCTCACCTCTCCATTTGCTCCAGAAACATTCAGGGTCTTTTAACGTCAACAAAATCCCACTAGGGTTTTTCGGGTTTTTACACGAGAAAAAAACAACATTTAGGTTTTTTTTGGGTTGTTCAACGGTTAAAGACCCTAAAGGCTCCAAAACTTGGTCCACCGAGGCACTGCTTCAAGGTTCCTGCGACTTGCCTTGCCACAAGAATGCCTGACAGGGTTTAGGGTGTTTTTTGCCATCCGTCTAGCCATGCTCCACGGGGCAACTGAAGAGGGAATGCTGTGCACATACTTCAGAGCCCAAGTTTACGATATGCCGAGATTTCCACACCTTCCCCTGCCCTCCTGCTTCCGAAACCAAACCCGCAAAGTAACCAACAAACGGTTTCAGCCCAACATACCATATATGATCCAAGGCAGGAGGGGAGGGTACAAGCGCGCTGGACCCAATAGTGAGCCAGCTCCCGTCAGCCCGGACATCCAACCTGACCAAACAAGTAGGTACCAACGACACAGCGATAACGACCCACGATAACCACGATGCCCTGGCCTTACTAGGAGCGCCCTTCAAAAGAGGAACCCTTTGAATCCATGCCCGGGGGCAGGAATACTCTAGATCATGGCTTAGGGTTTTAAGGGTTTAGGGGTTTAGGGGTTTAGGGTATAGGGTTTAAGGGTCTTAAGGGTTTTAAGGGTTGAGGGTTTAGAGGGCAGTCTTTTTGGAACAAGGACTGCGTTTACAGGACAAGCATCAGGCATAAGGTTCCCAAGACGTCGACTTGGGACCCCGGCGGCCGGCACGAGAGCCCAAGCTTGGAGCCTAAACCCTTAACCCTACTTGGCTGCACTTAGGAGGGTAGTAAAGAAATTAAACTTCTAGCTGCCTTATTAGGAAACCCAATAAACCCTAAAAATCGAAGGATCTGAAGTTACAGTAAAGCAACCACAAAGCCTAAACCCTAAACCCTAAACCCTAAGCCCTAAACCCTAAACCCTGAACCCTGAAACCCCAAAAACCCTAAGTTCGGGCAGGTCTGGCTTCTTCATCCCCAGCAGGCACCTGAGAAGCTCCGCACTCCCAAACCCGGAGCGTCCTGCGTGAGACCCCTGTTACTATACTCCCCTGAAGAACCTTAATAAACATGATATTTTAAATATCCTTTTGGATTTTATGGTTAAAAAAAAACAATTCCCAAGGGGGATGTAGGTTAGGTTGCCCAGCAAGAAACCTCTTGGACCTAGGAATGCTCAGGGCACCGTTTTTTGGCCTCATGGGATTGAGGAGGAAACCTTAGCAAAAAGGAAAGGGAACAAGGTACTGCATCCTTGGGAAGATGTGCGACTCACCTGCCAACTCCCATTAAAGTCAAAGACCCTAAACCCTAAATCCTAAATCCTGAAAATCTGACAGCTCTAGGCCAGCCCAACCCTCTTTTTTCTGACCCTGGGCTCTGAAGTACTGCCAGGAAGCAGGGGGAGCATGCTCAACCCTAAACCCTGAACCCTAAACCCTAAACCCCAACCTCCAAGGTCACCCTGCCTTCATCTGTAATTGGACAATCTCCAGGGTATTTCGCGGCGTCAGCGGTCGTATGCCAGGCAGAATCGAACACCTTGGCCCTTAAACCCTAAACCCTAAACCCTAAACCGTAAACCGTAAACCCTAAACCCTAAACCCTTAGGGTTTAGGTTTTAGGGTTGAGGGCGGTCGGGCCTCAAAGCCGCAAGTTGCGGGTGAGGAGCTGGTGGGGGACCCTAAGGCCTAAACTCAACCGTGAGCCCTTCGAGTTAGGGCTTGTGGAGTTTAGGGTTTAGGGTTTAGGTGAGTAGGATTTATGAGGGCCTTGCCCAGGACAAGCCACTGCGTCCTGGCGTTCGCCATGTCGAAGGACCGCCACAGAAGCCTGCTGTGCCAGAGTAACCTCTGTGCTCGCACCTGCACGTGCATGGGGTTTGGGGTATACCGGTTTCGGGGTTAGGGTTTAGGGTATACCGGTTTAGGGTCTGGGGTTGTGCTGCAGGGTTTTTTTCTAGGTGCTCGGGCGATTGAAGCAAAAGGCCCCCAAATCCCAAGCAGCGAGTGCCCTAAGTTTTGGGCCTTTGAAAGGGGGGGGGGGGAGCTGGGGGGTTTAGGGTTCAGGGTTTATGCTCCGATTCGTCAGGGTTTCGGACCCATAGAACAAGGTCTCAAGATACCCAACACATCTAGTGCAAGTTCCGCGTGTATCAGCTACTCCCCTCCTTAACTTCCTAAGCCCTCCACCCCACTTGATTTGAACTAGTTAGTGGCGCTTTTTGGTACCCTGTTTACTCTCAAAGGAAAGCCCGAACAAGGCCCGTCATTTAAGTCAACCCCCCACTCGCATCAACAGGCAACAACTAGTTCATGGTTAAGTACCCTTAAAAACCCCTAAACCCTGAACCCTGAACCCTGAACCCTAAACCCTGAACCCTGAACCCTAAACCCTACACCCTACAACTATGACAAAGAGTGCACATTAGGGGTTTGAGGCGGGTTCTTGCCATTGTGACTGGGCAATCGCCGCAGGTTTGCGCTAGGCCAAGGCACCCTGGAAAGTCTGAATTGGGGTTTCGGGTTTAGGGTTGAGGGTTTAGGGGTAAACCCTGAGTTTTCCCAAGCCCCTATAACACCCGAAGTCAGCTCCGTATGTCTGCATCTGCTAAATTATCCAGACTGAGATCCTGATGTGCTGGCGAATATCAACCCTAGGCTCCAGACCCTGTGCGGTCTCCTCCAAGGAACCTGTTTAGTGCGAGGGCCGCCTACATGCACCAGACACACTGCCTGCCTTCGGCCGCATACGGTGAAGATTCCATGTGTTCCTCAACGCGTTTTGAGACTGAGAGTGTTGGGTCGGGTTTACCTACGAATTCTGGATGAAGGGCTGGCGGTTTTGAACTATAACTAGATCAAGACGAACCGTACGAATAAATACATTACAGATATGTGAAATGCATTTGTTTCTATATGTAAATGTATATGTGTGTATACATATCGATATATATATATACCACTAGAATATCTATTTGTTTCTGTTTTTCGTAAGTTCCCAACCTCCGCCAAAACACGTGAAGCCCTTCGCACCTGGCTAGGTCTAGTAGTTAAGGGGCCTCGGGCACATGGCCATTCGTACTACCACTATCAAGCAAAGAAAATCTTACGCGGTGATGCCGAGTACTATGGTTGGAAAAAGAACTCTCATTATCAACCCTAAACCCTAAACCCTAAACCCTAAATCCTAAGCTCGTTTTGGAACCGGCGGCGCCTCATCTGATGGCGGCGCCCCATCTGATGCCAGGACGGGGATCCGAAGCTCTTCCTCAGCAAGTCAAGGGAACTAAAGGAGGGACCCTTATGAGGGGCCTTAGGGGTTTTTTGGGGGTAATTTCGGGGCTACTTAGGTATATAAAGATTATGTAAGGCATATATGTATATATACATATAATGGCTCCCCCCCACCCCCCCCCCCCCAATGGACCAACCGCGAAATGCAAAGGACAGGATGTTTTTGTCGTGCGTTGTATTGTATGCGCGTTTTGCCTTATATCTTGCGCTTTTTGTGTTGTTGTGCATTGTTTGCACTTTTCTTGTGTTTGTTTCTGCACTTTCGCACTTGTTTTTGCTGTTTGCACTTTTGCATTGGTTTTGCTTTCATTGTTTTCATATACTGTGTTCATTTCTATGCTTGTCTTATGCATTGTCCGAGCAAGTTTGGATTTTTGGATTTTGATGAGTGTTTCGCATTCTTGCGCTTTTTGTGTGTTTGTGCATTTTTTACATTGTTCTTCCATATTTTTTGCACTTTTGTTGCACTTTTGCATTTTTTTTGCTTTTTTGCACTCTTGCATTCTTTTCATACACTGTGTTCTTTTCTATGCTTGTCTTATGCATAGAAAATCCAAAAAACTAAAAAACCAAAGATCCAAAAACCCAAACTTGCTCGGACAGTGTCCGGAAATTTTGGATTTTGACGATTTTTCGCCTTCGATTTTTTGACTGAAAGAAGGCGACCATGCAAATGTACCTGTATCAGAATTTCAATTGCGTCCGAACTACTCGAAACGTGAACACGAAATTCACAGGATACTAAATAGCATATTCAACAGTATTTTGAATATACTGTTTGTATATGAGGACCATGTAAAGTTTTACTTATTCAAATCACTGAGAAAAACTGTTATGCACAGGCCTTCGTTAAGGAGGCTTTAACAGAGAACGCCTAAATTTGCCAATATCTAATTTTTGCATTCGAAAGACGCTGAAAAATCATTTGTTTAAAAAGAAGCATTCTGGGATAGTACCTATACTGTTGAGGAAACTAAGCCCTGTTACTTTGTTGAACGCTTCGATTCGCTTTTTGAGCAGGAAATTTCAACATCTTTTTGGCTCTTTGAGAAGGCTACTGAGGATTTGAACTCACATGTTTCGAGTAGTTAGGACGGAATTGAAATTCTGACAAGGGTATATAAAATACACGTTTGAATGGCCGCCCTCTTATAAACCGCCAAAAATGGAGAATGCGTATGGGCCCACCTCGAATGTGCAAAATCAACAAAACCCAAAAATCCAAAAACCCAAACTTTCCGGAGACATTGTCCGAGCAAGTTTGGATGTTTGGATTTTTGGATCTTTGGATTTTTGGTATTTATATTCTTTGATGTTTTTGATTTTTGGACTTTCTATGCATAAGACAAGCATAGAAAAGAACACAGTGTATGAAACGAATGCAAGTGTGCAAAAAGCCAAAAGAGTGCAAAAGTGCAAGAAAAAACAACAAGTGCCAAAGTGCAAAAAAACAAAAACAAGTGCAAAAGTGCAAGCATTGAAAAGCACACAGTATATGAAAACAATGCAAAAGTGCAAAGAACCAAAAAAGTGCAAAAGTGCAAAAGTACAAAAGAGCAAAGACAAGTGCAAAAGTGCAAAAAGAACCAAAAGATGTGCAAAAGAAACACGAGAAGTACAAACACAAGGCGAAACGATTTAATGACACGTACCAAAGACCTAAGCCCGGGAACACATCAGAGCAGACAGTGCCTACAGGAGCTTTCACATATCGAGGTTGGTCCATTGGGGGGGGGGGGGGGACCATATATATGATTCAGCCCCGGCGGGCCCCCCCCCCCCCCCCCCCCCCCCCCCCCCCCCCCCCCCCCCCCCCCCCCCCCCCCCCCCCCCAATGGTACCCCCCCCCCCCCCTGTGGTGTGGTTGGGGGTTGGTTTTAGGGTTTTAGGGTTTAGGGTTTAGGGTTTAGGGTTTAGGGTTTTAGGGTTTTAGGGTTTTAGGGTTTTAGGGTTTTAGGGTTTAGGGTTTAGGGTTTACGGTTTAGGGTTTTAGGGTTTAGGGTTTAGGGTTTAGGGTTTAGGGTTCAGGGTTTTCCCCGCGGATGGGGTACTAAGATGATCCCCCCCCCCCCCCTGTGGTGTGGTTGGGGGTTGGTTTTAGGGTTAGGGTTTAGGGTTCAAGGTTTTAGGGTTTAGGGTTTAAGGTTTAAGACTTAAGGTTTAGGGTTTAGGGTTAGGGTTTAGGTTTTAAAATTTTGGGTTTAGGGTCTAGGGTTTAGGGACCGTAGAGTAGGCTTGGGGGGGGGGGGGATACCATGGGGGGGGGGGGGGGAGGGGGCCCCAGGACGCTCGACGCTGCCCACCCCCCCTACCCCCCCCTACCCCCCCCCCCCCCCCCACCCCCCCCCCCCCTGTGGTGTGGTTTAGGGTTTAGGGTTTTTTAGGGTTTTAGGGTTTAGGGTTTAGGGTTTAGGGTTTAGGGTTTAGGGTTTAGGGTTTTCCCCGCGGATGGGGTACTAAGATGATACCCCCCCCCTGTGGTGTGGTTGGGGGGTTGGTTTTAGGGTTAGGGTTTAGGGTTCAGGGTTTTAGGGTTTAGGGTTTAAGGTTTAAGACTTCAGGTTTAGGGTTTAGGGTTAGGGTTTAGGTTTTAGGGTTTAGGGTTTAGGGTTTAGGGTTTAGGGTTTAGGGTTTAGGGTTTAGGGACCGTAGAGTAGACTTGGGGGGGGGGGGATACCATGGGGGGGGGGGGGGGGGCCCAGGACGCTCGACGCTGAACCATATATATATATATATATATGCACACATATAGGGGTTGTATGCCTGAAGCAATGGCACGGCTCTTAAGGTTCTGCGGTGCTTTGGGCTCAACCCCCAGCAACCCAAAAGCATCCTACATCCTAGAAGCCGTAGTCCTTGCAACCTTCAACACCTGGCGAAACATCCTAACCCTAAACCCTAAGCCCTGAACCCTAAGCCCTAAGCCCTAAGCCCTAAGCCCTAAGCCCTAAACCCTAACCCTATAAGGCCAAAGCTCGGCGATGGCCCGGAGACTCCTTGCCGGCATGGGCAGCGCGCGCGGGGCCTGGGAGGCCGAGAACTCCACCAGCTGCATGGAGGATCTGTCCTGGTTGTCCTCAGAGATAGGGTTTAGGGTTTCGAGTTTAGGGTTTAGGGTTCAGGGTGTAGGGTCCCGAAGTCAAGCATAACGAAAGCCCCAGAAACCCCAAACATAATCAGCCCTAGAAGCCCTCAAACCATTGACGGCTTCTTCTTCTGCCTCAAATGGACTTGTGGGTCTTCATGGAACTATATAGGTGGCTTCTGTTTCTTCAAGGACCTACAGGAAGTAGGATATTGCCATGTGTTGCAATTCCCTTTACGAATCTTGGTTTCAAGTTGAGGGATATGTTATTCCAGGGCTTTTTTGATGCCACCCGGGGAGCTGAACAAAGGACTCAGCATGGGCAAGGCTACTCAATCGGTTTAGGGTTTAGGGTTTAGGGTTTAGGGTTTAGGGTTTAGGGTTTAGGGTTTAGGGTTTAGGGTTTAGGGGATTAAGACACTGCTGTCCTATGGTCCGTGCATTGTACACGATCGTTCAAGGCTTGGGGTTTGCAAGCTATCGGGCTCAGCTTAGCACGTTGTCAAGCCGAACAACTTACTTCAAAACTAGCCCAAAGTTCGTCAGGAGCCCGATAGCATCAAGCTCACTAGTTTCCAACTCATGCCCTATGCTCTCCCTTCAGTGTGCCACCGCCCCCCTCCCCCCCCTAATCCCTGACCATCTCGGAAGACAACAGCTTATTGGTTCATGTCAGCGTCGTTACGAAGGCGCTCCAAGCTAAGCGCGTTTGCCTGGCTTCTCTCCACAGCAGCCCAGATGTTGCGAACCACCGAGGCGAATTCCCAGGAATAGGTGATCAGCAGCACAACTGTGCCAACCACAAACCTCACTCATCTTTGGGCCGAAGAGACGCCGTTAACAAGATTCATGACAACCCGAAGGTTTACAATTTCCCGGTGCGCCACAAAAGCTTCCGGGAAAATCCTCGCGAAAAGAAAAGTCTAACTGCCGAGTCGAGAAAAAGCGGCTGTAGGTCCGGGTTTAGGGTTTAGGGGTTAGGGTTTAGAGTTTAGGGTACTGTCTATCCTGTCTGAAACCCTACTCCCTCATGCATGGCTGCCGCACTCGGCCTGCTACTACACGCCTTGCAAAATCTTGACTCTCTGTCCGTCTGTCTGTGTGCGCGTGCGCGTGCGTGGGCGTGTGCGGTAGTTGCACTGTACTGCAGCTGAAAGTGGCGGGGCCGTGTTTTCTGTGTCTAGTATGCTCTGCACAAGGCTCAAGGCGATCGTCGCTCTCGACTCTGATTTCGACACGATGCTCTTACCCTAAACGCTAAACCCTAAACCCTAAACCCTAAACCCTAAAACCCTAAACCCTAAACCCCCTTGATTTGGGCCCAGGAGCGCAGGGCGATTCTCGTGAACCCCCACTTGGAGGTTCATGATACTTATTAACCAACTATAACTCTACTTATAACCCACCTTACAAGCCCCTTAAGCGCCCTATAATATGGTGAGAAGTACAGATATCAAAACACTTGTAACTCTACTTTTCACCCACCTTATAAGCCCCTTGAGTGCCCTAGAATATGGTGAGAAGTACAGTTCTCAAAACACTTATAGCTGGTTAGTAAGTACCATGAACCTCCAAGTAGAGGCCATTGCAACAAGATGTCAAGAAGCAGCCAGGAGACCCCTCCAATCCGATCGGATATACATCCAACGTCTGCGGGACGATACCTCTCTTTGGTTGGGGTGGTTCATGGTTGGCATCTAAGCCTCTAAGACTACATATATATATATATATCATATCAATAAATAAATAGGGGCTCATGCCAGGAGAAAGGGGCCGGAATCCCAAAGGTGCTTCTTGTGCTTTGTGGGACGTTTGGGGGCTTCTGTCTGTTTACAGCAGTTTGGGCCTGGAAATTCTTGTGGCTGAGGGTTTAGGGTTTTTGTTTGCCACCTGCCTCACTGACCTCTCGGACACAATGCAGGGAACGTGCTGGGCAAAACGTCAAGGCGTGCGATAACTCAGCAGAAAAACCCTACTAGGTCACCTGACTACCTCACCAGAGCCACTCCAACAAAACCCTAAACCCTAAACCCTAAACCCTGAACCCTCAACCCTCAACCCTCAACCCTAAACCCTAAACCCTAAACCCTAAACGCCAACGAAAGCTAAGCTACAAGTCCAACGAACACAAACTCAGGAGTCAGGCGATCTCTTCTTCTCAGCTCACTGTGCTACTTTCACTTGGCTGACTTCTGAACCCCTCCTAAAAGTTTAACTTTTAGGCTCCTTATTGTATTTTCTACAGAAACCCAAAAAGTTAAAGTCCGAGCCAGCCAGAAGAAAGCCAAGTTCACACCTGTTGCTCATCGTGACATCTTTGCTGCTGCCCACCCGCGACTCACCAACGGCACGCGCCCGCAGCGCGTAGAGCTTTCTGAGTTGCTCTGGCGCCAAACATTGGGCTTTCGGTAAGTTTACAATTTTGGCTCAAGATCTTCCCAGGCTCATCCTGCGGGTTCTCTCCCAAAACTCCTCACTCCACATGCCTCCCAATCTCCCTAACAATCATCCTCCAAATTATTCAAAACTATCCTCTATCTCCTCCAAGAAAATAGGATGATTTAGGATGATGAAGCAGAAATTAGGGGGAGCGGAAAATACCTTGGGAAGGTTTGAGGAACAACGAGACAAGATGATCTTAGGATGATGAAGCGGACATAAGACGCAGGGCGGATATTGACAGAGGAAGATTTCAGGAAAAGGGACAGGGTGACTTGGATGATGAAGCGAACGCAAAAAGCGGCGGGACATGCCCGAGGATGATTCGAGGGAAAAAATCTAAAAAGGGGATGATTTTAGGATATGGTGGAGAGGAAAAGCGGAGAGGAAAAGTAGGGACAACAATGCCAGAGGATGTTTCGCGCGCAAGAAAGAGTATGATGTTAGGATGATGAAGCAGACAGGATAATGAGGGAGGACAACACCAGAGGATGATTTTGTTTGTAACCTGGATTTCGTGGTAAAGACTGGATTTCTGTTTTTTTTGCATCTGTGATTTATCTGCGAATGACTAGGTGGCCACAATTGACTCTGTGATAAATCTGTGCATTTTTTGTTTGTTTTTTGTTTTTGCTTGTGACCTGCTCTCTTTTAGGGAGGGTGCGGGGAGGGGGTGGGGGAGTCGGCACAGGTGAGAGGGGAGGGGAGATGGGAGGGGAGAAGGGACTTGTCACAGATTTTTCACATTTTTCGCCGATGTTTCACAGATTCGTAACCCATGCAGGCACAGGTACAGATTTTTCACACATGCCAAGCACAAAAAAACACGTAAATCACAGAAATAATTCCTGACATCGGCCCCGGTGATTGCCACAAATCCAGCTTTTGCATCTATGTGCGGTCATGAATACGTATCTGTCGAGCCAAAAATGTCTGTAAGAATGCGCCTGTCTGCCAAATATATCCAAACAAGGGCCAAACTAGCGGCCTTGAGCCATTTGGTTTAGGCTTTATAACCCCAAACCCTAAACCCTAAACCCTAAACCCTCAACCCTAAAAGTATTCGACGTCTGGCAGGTTTAGGGCCTGGGACGGAAGATCAGACTCCGTGCCAGGCGCCTGTGATCAACTCGAGGAAGCCCACACAGCAAGCGGCGGCCATGCACATGATGACAGGGTGCACCTTAGAAGTTGCATCTTTGTTCAATAGGGTTTAGGGTTTAGGGTTTAGGGTTTAGGGTTTAGGGTGTACCCGCATATCTGGACGTTTAGGGTTTAGGGCTTGGCATGAAGTGAGGCCCCCAGAGTCCTGATTGGAGAGCAGCAGCCTTCTGAGCTTCCAGAATGCATTGCTTAGCGCTGGGAAAGAGCCCCCAAAGGTTGGAACCAGGCAAATCGAAACACAGCAAACCGCACACGCCAGAGCGCGTGGGACAGCGTGAGCAGGAAGAGCGCTTGCAGAATGCCCGCCTGATTCAGAGCTTTCGGGTCGCGAAAAGTCGGGTCGTGTCGGGTCTAACACCTGCCGACGTTATACATGCTGTAAGAAAACAACCAATGAAAGCGCAAGAATGTAACTTTGTCATGCGAGTCGAAGAACACATGTCCAAGCCCCCCTCCCCACCCCATTGTTCGTAGAACCCCAGGCATATTGCATACCAGCATATACCAGCAGGCTGAATCCAGGGCACGGTTACGACGTCCTCTGTCTGAAGGGTGCGAGAACAGTAACACCATGCCATGTCCTACCATGTCACTATGTCGAAAATGGTCATTCTAAGCTCACCCCTAGGCTTCAAATCTCACCATGCCCTGATGCCGCAAGAAGCTGTGAAGTAGCACTAGCAAAGATCGATTCGCCACCGCGATCGAATAGACCAGCAACTACACACAAACACACACACACACACACACACCTCTGCCACAGGGAGAGACGGCACTGCAAAGCCCAGGGTAGAGATCACGCACCTGGTGCAGCAACACCGCTGTCAGGCGGATTGCGTTCAACATAGCTCGGGCAAAACAAAGCTCCAGTGTCTCGTCTGATGTTGCAAAGAGAACAAAGAAGCACCGACATGGGGGTGTCCGCATCTAGGGGTACCTTGTTGGGGTCCTTACTATAAAGGGAGCCTACTATATGTGTGATCTTTCTCGGGGGTCCCTGTTATCGTTACTATAAGGGGATCCTATATATCATTTGGGGATCACATTTGGGGATCCCCAATTTTCACATTGCAAGCACGTGGCTGATCGTCCTTGCTCCAGCTTCGCACGACCAGCGTCGTCACGTAGCTCATTGCCTCAGTGGGGTAGCCAAGGCTTGGTTTCGGGGGATGTTTAGGATGTTCCCCCGTTATACTAACAGTCCTCACTAGGGATTATAGTACCCCTATTCTAATCCCCATAGACAGGACTGTGCGCATGACGGGGAACATCCCCATCGGTGCTGTTTGGGATATCTGGGGTGCTCTTCTTCCAGGATTCCACAACCAGAATCCTCATCCGCGAGACAACCTTGAGCTCATCTGAATATACTTATTAACCAATCATAACTGTACTTTGAACTGTACTAATATTAGGGCACTTAAGGGGCTTACAAGGTGGGTTAGAAGTACAGATACAATTAGTTTAAAGTACCATGAGCTGTCACTACATGGCTGCCGGTGTAGGCAGGCTATTCTTCGTGTCTTCAACTTTCGAGATCTTGCGCAGTAGTGCCCTCTGCCTGCCCATGAACTCTCTGCTCCCAAACGACGAGTGTGGTCCCTAAACCCTAAACCCTAAACCCTAAATCCTAAACCCTAAACCCTAAACCCTAAACCCGTATTGAACAGGTAGGTGGCCGAAGGGGCAAGAATGCACGTCATGAGAGGTAGATCCTGCCTCGGTCACAGATGTGGGCTTTAGGGTTTAGGGTTTAATGTTGACTTCGCATTAATAACCCCCCCCCCCCTTCATTGATCAATCTCTCCGGCCAGGGCCTCCTCAATAATATCCGCCTAAATCCTGGTAGGTCTAGCTGTCCCGGTGCCACCACAGTGGGCTAAGTGAGCCTCTACTGCGAGCTTCTGGGGGATCACTTTTAGAAGAATATTCCGGGCTGGATTTTATAATTGTGGCGGGCTACATTATTGTGTTCTGGCAGCTGGATTTTATAATTGCGGCGGGAATTCCTAATGTGAAGTCAACATTAGGGCTTAGGGTGCCATGTAGCCACAAAAAAGGGGCCCAAACAAACCAACAATGGCAGCGTTTTCCTCCCTAAACTTGTAAATGCAAAACCCTAGATCCTAAACTGAAGCTACTTCTTCTGCATTCCTCCTTTCGGTCCCCATAGTCAAGAATTTGTCGGTCCGAACCTCCCTGTCTTGATGCATACACACTCTGCAAGGGTTTAGGGTTTAGGGTTTATAGGGTTTAAGTTAGAGATCGCCTTTCAGCTGAACTGGGCTACAGCCGTCGTCTGCTCGACTTTGTAATCTCCGACACGAAACCTTCACGCACGCACACTCATGCCCGGTCGAAGCTGGTTGGGAAAACAGTGCAACCGGCCCCGTTTCCCCAAGGCGCAGGTGCGTTGCAAAAGTGTTCCTCTGGAGCCATCACACTCAACACACGGGATTCCAGTTGTTTTTTTCGTAATGCCCACTGCTGCGCAGAGGAGTCGTAAAACCAAGAAATTATCAGATGTTGACGTGTGAGCCTGAATAGCGCGACGAAGTTGCTAGTTGGCTGAAGAACCAATCAAGAAGATCGAGTCTACAAATGGACATAAGTCAGAAGTCATCAACATGTCGTCGAAGATTGCAAAGATGGGACGATAGCATACTATTCCACAAGGTCTTGTTGAGATGATGCGAGGCAGCAGCAAGAATTCCGCATGACTGGCAAAGACATTGCCCCACTGTAATGGCAAGCATGGTCACAGGTCCCTTGGCCCAACTGAGGGTTTAGGGTTTAGGGTTTAGGGTTTAGGGTTTTGGGTTTAGGGTCCACTGGAGCCGAAGATGCATGTGACAATTCTTCAATCCACTGGTTGGCAAAGAGATATCCCGGTCGCTCTGGGCTCAAACACTGAACCCTTGAAATATCCAACGGTTTTTTTTTCGCTCCCGCATAGCTGGCCGAACCGCAAAGCAGGGTGACGTCGATCCAACGGTTTAGGGTTTAGGGTTTAGGGTTTAGGGACGGGGTCCTCCCTATCCTTGGTACAATGAAGTGCGCCAACGCATACGTGCGCGCGCACACACACACACACATCGCCACAAATCTTTGCCCAAAGAAGCCAAACAAAGGCCAGCAGCACACGTCACAAATCATCAAAGCACACACTAGCGAACAGTCAGCCAGAACTTAAACCCTGACCCATAAACCCTAAAAAAGACAAGGCGCTTGAGGGCGTAGGTCAGGCAGCCGATTGAGTGCAAGCACGAGGTGAACAGCGTGGCCCTTACTTGGAGGCTCATGGTACTTAGCAACCTACTATAACTGCACAGTACAGTTCGAATTGCTACCAATTGCTTAAGAACCCCCAAAAAAGCGAAAACCAACATTCTTCCCTAAAAGGGTAAAGTAGGGGATTATGGTTGATGTGTTTTTCATTTTTGTGGGGTTCTTAGTAGATAGTAACTGTACTTATACCTGTACTTATAACCAGGTTCTAGGGCACTTAAGGGGCTTATAAAGTGGATTCTAAGTACAGATATAATTGGTTAAGTACCATGAACCTCCAAGTAGTAGGTCGTTTTGGGATGCTTGGCATCAACTTCCATTAATCGGCTAACCCTAAACCCTTTTTTCAAGAGACTTCGCCTGCCTTGATATGCTTGAGGGCCACACGTGCATGATGACTGACAGACGAGCGGCGCGAGACACACCAACAAGCAGCTGACAGTCTGAAACCTTGCTTTGAGGAGCTGAGGGTTTAGGGTTCTGAGTTTAGTGTTTAGGTTTGGTTTGGAGTCGCCCTCGTGGAAGGTGCGACGATGGCTGGAACACAACTTACGTGCTTCAAAGAAGGTGCTGATGGAGTTCTCTCAACATTGCACGCAAGTATGATTCTACCTGTAGCCCTAAGCCCTAAACCATAAACCCTGAAGCCTGCATGATGTCTTGCTCTTTAATTGGGTTGGCAAGCAAGGCGGTTTCAGTTGGACTTTCGTAGGCCCGAAGTCCAAATATGTCCCGCGACGGGCAAACGCCCCACGACGTGCAACAAAATTCCGAGTCAACTAAACCCGAAATCCTAAAACCCTAAAACCCTAACACCCTAACACTAAAACACTAAAACCCTAAAACCCTAAAACCCTAGAACCCTAAAACCTTAAAACCCTAAAACCCTAAAACCCCAAAACCCTAAACCCTATACACCAACTCGAGACTGCCATGGCCCAGGGACAAGCCATGCTGCAGCAGAGACGAAGTCCGATTGCATGGTTGGTTGCCAGGCGTCTGCAGAAACCTAGAGGGGGCACAGCTAGCCTCAGCCCTAAACCCTAAACCCTAAACCCTAAACCCTAAGCTACACACCCTGTAAGCTGCCCAAAATCACGTCGACAGGTGAGAGGGTTGCGATGGGAATGGGTATCTTCGAGCATTGTCTTTGTGGTTCCGAGAGCCGACCGCAAGGTTCTGCCCTTCCGCTTTCGGTTTTGTAGGGTTTAGGGTTTAGGGCTTAGGGTTTTTTTGCAAGCACTCAGGGTTTAGGGTTTAGGGTTTCGGGTTTCCGGGGCCTAGCTCCAGGTTTCCAGGGAAGTACGTGGAGCCCTGCCATATGGTCAGTTCTCTCAACTATGTTCCGCTTTTTTGGGGTGTCTTGAAAATAGTAGGGGCCGGCTCAGAAAAGTCAGCAAGGGCCCAATTCTTGAGAGAAGTGGCCATATACCATTTTGCATCCGGACTTGGGCAGTACCCAGGAGTAACCTAGGAATAAACAGGGTGCCCTTTTTTTTGGTTATAAGGGGGTTATTGTTGAAAGGGAACCCCCACCCTAAAAACAAGGGCCAGTATACGATACCCTTAGACCTAAACCCTAAACCAGCTGCCTATGAACCCTCATCTAGCTTGGCCCTTTAAACCCTAAACCTCCTTGAGAATTCTTCCCAAATAAGATCCCAACAAGGAAGACCCCCTGGTTCTCAGCAGGGAATCAGGGCATGAGGGCCCTATAATATATATATATATATAGACATACCCCAAACCGCAAACCCCAAACCCTAAACCCTCAAGCCCAACCTCACGGCCATGTCCATGTACACAGCGTGGCCGCACCAGAGTGTCAGGGAGCTCAACAGCGCAGCCGGAATATTCCTAGTTCATGGTTGGGAGAGGTAGTGTTAAACAATTGGGTTTCTACCCCTTGTTGAGTTTACGGCTTGGTATAGTGCATGGTTGAGAGAATGTCAAAAAATGAGGTTCTGTTCCTTATTGGGTGTAAGTATTCCTCGAAAATGAAAAGAACATATTACCCAACCATGACAAAGATTCCGGGAGGTCAGAGGTGAGTCTGCAACGGACTCATGCATCGACCTGGCCAGGCTTGATATCTTAGGGTCCTAAACCCTAAACCCTAAACCCTAAACCCTAAACCCTAATCCTGAACCTTCATATGGACACTTAAATGGGAACCCCCTATTTCCTTCTATACCCCCTATATACCCCATAGAACCCAAGGGCTCATACTTCGGAACCCTTTTAAAGATCGACACCACCGGTTTAGGGTTTAGGGTTTAGGGTTTAGGGTTTAGGGTTTAGGGTTTAGGGTTCCAGGCCCAGGGATTTGGAAGGTTGAGAATCACCAAATTCTCGATTGGACTGTCAAGATCTCTGCATGTCTTCCACGCTTGAACTATTCCGTGGATTAGTCTAACTCTGAACCCTTTCTTTGCACCCAGACTCTACATGTCAGCTGTTAACCCTAAACCCTAACCCATAAACCCATAATCCTTTTTTGAACCTGGAAGCCTAAACCTAAACCCTAAACAGACTTGCCCTTTTGGTAGCTAGTTGTGTGTGACCCGGTGCTGACCCCGGAGGGCCTCGTAAGCCACTTTCGGATGCTGCCCACTAAGCCTTCGGGAGCTTGCTGGCGTGGGCCGGCCATGAAGCTGACTCGCACCTTCTCCTGTAGGGTTTAGGATGTATAGGGTTTGTAGAGTTTATAGGGTTCATAGGGTTGATAGGGTTTATAGGGTTTACAGCGTTTGTAGGGTTTGTAGGGTTTGTACGGTTGATAGGGCTTATAGGGTTTCAGGGTCTAGGGGCTTTGGGGGTTCAGGGGCTCTAGGGGGTGGAGCATAAGAGGTACCCTTATGTGGGCCCATACTAAAGGGCTACTCTGTGATCCTTGGTAGCACATCCTATAATGAACTCCACAAAGTTGGAACATGGGTTTAGGCTGATCAGTGCTGGGTTTCCGTCTACTTTACCTTAAGGGCATTGGGCGAATGATGTTCCAACTTTCTGGACTTTACTATATGATAACAGCGCCTTTTTTTTTTGGGTTGGTTACTTTACAAGGGAACCTAGAACCAGACAAAAAAAAGGTGAAGGGTACCACTGGGCCACCAAGCTTCTGAGAGGATGTGGCCATTCCTGACTGCATAGAGCCTGGATGTGAAGCTGTGCCTTAGGTCTTGCAGACGCGGGGATTCCAAGATCGGGAGCCAAGCAGAAAAGACTGGAGCTCCAGGAGTATGACAAGACGAAAGAAGAACCCTTCCTTCGAGGTCTGATGGCTTTTGGTTGAGGGCACCAATATGGGGGTTTCAGATATTCTTGGGGTCCTCATTACAAGGGAATCCTACTACTTTGGGGTGCGTAATAGGGGCCCCCGCGGTTCGTGAGCCCCGAATATGCCCAAAGGTACCGACACACCACACACGCCAAACTTCTCACACCTTTGAGTTTTTCGAGGGTATTGATGACGATGGTTGCTGCGAAGAGTACGCCCTGGCCCACTGAGAGGACTGCCTTGGTATGTTCCCCCTGATGCTAACAGCCCTGAATAGGGATGATAGTAGGGGGGGGGTTACTCTTATCCCTATTAAGGATGATAATAGAGGGGTACTAGAATCCCTACGAAGGATACGAAAGGGGGGTTACTCTCACCCCTATCAAGGATAATAACAGGGGTACCATAACCCCAACTAAGGATTATAACAGGGGATGCCATAATCCCTATTCAGGACTGTTAGTATCAGGGGGAGCATCCCAAGACAAGCGTCTCGAGGATGGCGAGGAAGCTTTGCCGGATTTGGGTGGTGCGTTTTCGCTTGGGATGTTCCCCCTCATACTAACAGTGCTTAATAGGGATTCTGAACGGGGTTTAGGGTTTAGGGTTTAGGGGTACTATCATCCCTAAACCAAACGACCAAACAGCCTGGCAACGTGTACCAGCACCATGTGGCCACAGGGTACAGACAAAACAGAAAGATTCGCTGCCTCAGCTGGCTGCCAAAAAGACCATCAATACTACTATACTCCCCTTAGAACCATAATTAAAACAGTGTTAATATCCTCTCGGGTTTTCAAAAAACAAAACTACAAAATACTTCCCAAAGGGGATATAGACTATGCTTTACAAGTCCTGTACGTGGTACGCCCTTGCCAAAGAAAACGCGAGACAATGCTTCAACCAAGCAGGCGTGGTGTGTTTGCAACCGGCACTTGCCTTATTGGCCTCACCCCTGATGTCTCAAACTCCCTAAACCGCAACGAATTGCGTAGTACCTTAGAAATCCACGAAATGTAGCTCCAATGACAGCGAAGCTTCGTGGACTCATTCGGGAGAATGCCCTGCGCACTCCAGGACTGGTCGTTGAGGAAGTCCTTTGACAGTTGGCGATTGTTCCAAAGCTGGGGGGCTACGTTTCGGGGGGTTATTCTAGGCTCACCTAATTAATAGCCGGGGTGCCGTGAAGTAATGAGATCTTCCAGGGACTACGTTAGATAGTATGGCGGCGTCAAGAGGAATGGTTTATTTGGACAAATTCTCCGGGATGTGCGCTGTGAACAATGTGCCCGCAAGAATGGCCATCGCCAGTCCAATCATGAGCGGATGCAGCTTGACGATCATCAGGAGCACAAACTGCAGCATCCAGTACAGCCAGAGTGAACGAGATGAAGGATGGCTTGGGCAAAACGATTGCTGCGCCGCCATCCCCACAGACATGAGCAATACACTGGTCAGTTCAACCTTCATCCTGTGAGTGCGATGAAAATGTGGCAGACACAGGTGCGCAAAGAGCATCAGGACCGCCACACTCAGCCGAACTCTGGGAACAAGTTCTTGAAGAAGTGATCTCTGTTGGCAGAACAGGTCGTTGAAGCACGCATGGTCGGCGGCCCAGAACATGTTGTAGGCATGCAGAACCTCGCCGAGAGGGTTAGTGTTTCAGGGTTCCCCGGTCTTTCTGTTCAACCCAGAAGGTTTGGGGTTCGTGCATCTCTGTATAGGGGTTTTTGTATCTTGGGGTATATAGGGTGGAACCTGGAACGCGGACGCTCTTGGAGCGCGCGGCTGATTAAACTCATCTATCAGAGGTTTTCCAACTCCCCCCCCCCCCCCCCCCACCCCCGAAGGGAGAAGAAAAGCTAAATTCTTCAATGCATGCGTTGTTCTGGAATTTTGGCTGAAATGACATGGGTTTGGGGGGGGGAGGGGGGGGGGGCAGGGCAGCTAGCCTGGCACAGCCAGAATTTGCAGGCAGAAGCAGTAGTCTCCACCCGGCCCCAGGCAAAACAACCCCTCCCACAGTTAGCAGTTAGGATCAATCAGGGATCTGGCATCTCATGGCAATGTCGTCATGACTTATGCTTTGGACTGACAGTTCCCGGCATGAACTGAACAAACCTCATAGCCAATGTCTGCGGGCCAAGGGAGTCGAAACTCGTCTACAACTAAGTGAGGCTCAGCCACCCCGTTCCTGAGGGCTCTTCTGCTGCTGCCCCTAAACCCTAAACCCTAAACCCTAAACCCTAAACCCTAAACCCTGCTGGGCATGGGGGGCCAGGGCAGAACCCTGATACACGCGCTCAATAGTGACACGAGCGCAAGGCTGGGGAAGCGTGTTGCAAGACATACAGAGGAGAGGGTTTAGGGTTTAGGGTTTAGGATTTAGGATTTAGGGTTCAGGGTTAAGGGATCCCCCTGACGACATTAACACACCATACCTGTCATAACATTAACGCAAAATTCCCCCTTGAGAGGTCGGTCAGAGGGAAGCGCGCAGTCCCCATCTCACGTCCCTACCTCATAGCACACGCCCTTAATTAAATCTGGCTCGCCTTTTGACTTTCCCTACACTGGGGTGTGGTCCGGTGTCAAATGCTGCCACAGCTACGCGTTTCTTTGCGTGCGACCGCTGCGAAGATGCACTCTGAGCATTGGACCGTCTCTCACCCTCAACATCAGTTTCTAAAGTCTACAATAGAGTCTACAATCAAACAAATGCAAAGCCAGAAACTCGGATCAATGCCAACTGCCGAAACATTCCGAAGTAACTCGGTTTTGGCCCAGAAGCATTCGGCGATCGTCCTCTCAGGAACGGGCTTGACAAGAGCACCTCGTCAGTAGTGTCTGCCCACCAGTACCTGGGGCTTGACGCGTCCGGGAACACGAAAGATCAAACTCTAGCCGTCACATAGTCAATGACGAACGAAATCTTTGAGACTAAAGTAGGGACCATACTGCCGACAAAAACAGGTGAAGGCTACTTTATGGACAATGTAGATTTTACATATTAAACGTCACGTGTAGATGTGTCTGTTTGTGAACTCGTTTCAGGTTATAGGGCTGCAGGCGCCCTATCTTGTCATCGGACTTATGGGGACTGCCTCACAGGTGAGAGCCACCACAGATGGAGACATTCATCTGAAAATGTCTTCCCAGCTTCCTTGCTGCGTGTGGACATCACGTGACAAGGACGGCCTGCTGTGTACTGTACTCTCCCCCTCCTAGAACCTTAGCAGACATAATACTTGTCTTTTCCCTTGGGCATGAGTTAAAACAGCTTCTAAGGAAGCCTTGTTTAAACTGTTTGAACCCGCCTTTGTCTGCAGCTTCACCGACCACAACCGAGACCTCAAGCCCTAAACCCTAAACCCCAAACCCTAAACCTGAGCCCTGAGCCCTGAACCCTTATCAGGCAGGCACCCTGCAGCCTATTCTTTCAGGGTCTCAGGGTTGGGAGCTTACAGTAGAAGCCCTGTGCCAACAACTCTCCCAGATTTGAGCAAACCCCCAATACATCACGCGTATGATTCTAGTATAGTATACTAGTATAAGTATTGCCATATTGCTTTGTTTTGATATTGTTAAATTACCACCAGTCCAGTCAAGTCACCGGAAGGCGGCCCACACAGCCGTCGGACTCCATGGCATTCCCCAAAGCGCTTAGCGTTTACAGGGCTTGGGGCTTCGAGGTGCACGGCCCCAAAGGGCTCAAGAAAGTGTGTTTTAACGGGCTTTTGAGGTGCACGGTTTCTTGAGAACTGCCGGGCTTGTTAGGCTTTTTGGGGTCAGGTAGGGTAGTCTACAGAGTCATAATCTAACTACCCTATGCTTCCGACCTTGTGCAGGGTTTCAGGCGGTTGGGGGAGCCGCTCACCCTCGGACAAGCCAGGCGAGGTATGAATGCTTCAACGTAGAGTAAGGGGAGCTTAGGGCTTAGGGTTTTTGCGTTTAGGGCAACAGGGCTTACAGCGACTCTACAGTGGCTCAAAGGATGACGTCTCTGGGTCTTCAGAGGGTCCCCCCGAGCTCACGAGGCACGTTCTCATGGGAATTCTTGTTGGGGTTATTGTCGTATGGCAGGAAGGTCCAAATAATCCTCAGCATTTTGTTGTTGCGGTTTGAGGTCGAACGGCCCCAGCAAGCTGGAGATGTACGTGCTGCCTTGGACTCGAAGGGGTCGTCCCGGTAGGGAGTCCTTGGCGTCTTCAGCACTGACGTTGGGAAGGACCAAGGGTTTAGGGTTTAGGGTTTAATAATCATAGAATAATAATAATAATATAAGAAGAATCAAATGAATCTTAATAATAATAATATAATAATAATAATAATAAGGTTTTGTCACCTCCTCCTAGCTGTGCTCAGGGTTACGGGTATGAAAGGTTAGGGTTAACCTGCAACCTATGCAACATGCAGGGCTCGTCCAGTGACTCTCCCCTGCCGCGGTTGGGGTGCCGCTTGGCTGCCCAAGGTGTCCAGCAAGCAAACCTATGATAATAGAATCTTTTCAAGAAAACGAAGTAGATAATGATGACAGAATAAAATACTACAGTAGTACAATGCTGACATATTTTGCATTGTACAAAAAATACATACTAGCATAATAACACAGTTTTGTAATCGCAAAAGAATATACGAGTATAGAACATCATAGTGTCGTAATACGAGAATATACAAGTATACAATCATCTAACGATATAAAAGCATATTCCTGGAAACAAATTAACTGAAATACATAGGAATACCACCATCTAACAATATAATCTCAAGCCGCTTGGTCGCAAAGACTCCTTCGGGGCTAACGTCTGAAGAAAGGAGGGCGTTGTGTAAGCCAGGCTCGCGGCTCGCAAACCTTTGTGCGCACCTGTGGGAAACCTTTGCTTTGGATCCCGGTGAACCCTGTGTTCCAGGCCACACACTTCAGCCGCAGGTGCAAGGCTCGATGTTGCAGCCGAAGTGGCATAGTTGTGGCATCCCACAGCACCATGCCACGCCCAACCTCCGGGTTGAGACTTTGGGGCTTCGGCTTTGTTGTTTCCAAGCACTGGTTCACTGGTTGTTGTACGGCGTGTTTGTATGATGTGTTTGTTTTGCCGGTTTCTGGGGGGGGGGGGGGGGGGGGGGGGGGGGTGTATCCTGTTTCTCCGGTCGACCCTCGAACCTCGAACCGCAGGCGTCTCGAACCGCAGGCCAGTTCGTGCCGTACCCGAAAGGCAGCGTACATTCACTGCCCTACTAATTTACAATAGTCAGCAGAGGAAAAGCACCAGCGAAAAACAACTGTGATCACATGTTTTGTATCAAAACGTGTGCTCTGGTGCTACTTTGTCTGCTTCTGTTTCTGGCATTTCTGGGGCGACTTGTTGTGCTCCTGTCTGTGCTATTTATGGTCTGCATTTTGTGTTCCTGTTTGTGCTATTTCTGATGCGACTTGTTCTTCTCCTGTTTGTGCTATTTCAGGTGCTATTTTTTCTGCTCCTGTCCATCCTGCTGGTGCTATTTCTTCTGCTCCGTGCTATTTCTGGTGCCACTTTCTCTGCTTCCTTAAGCCATGCTTGGATTGCCGAGGGCCAACGTGGTTCGCTTTCCTGGTGCCCCTTTTCGCATGTGTGATACATACAACAGCTTGATTTAACCAGTACTAGGGCCAGGAGCATTCTAAAATATGTACATACATATATACCATTCTGAATCTGGGGACTTGCGGGCCCGGGCTACCTAAAAACATGGACCTAGAACCTCAGAACCGCCGAGAGCCTTGGCCACAACTTTGCCACAGCTGTGCTTCAGCATGGGGTCGATGACCTCCAGCAGAAAATCGAGATCGCTGGGGTCCGACTTTCTGTTGTCGCGCTGACTTCGGGCTGCTTCAGCATATTAGGGGGTTTCCGAAAATAGGGGTACCCTTTTTTGGGGGGTCCCTTTAAGAGGCTTCTCGGATTCTCTTCTATTTGGGGTCTAAAAGGGGTACCACCATTTTGGGTTCAGCTACAGGACCAACCAGCACCACACGTTGCCCCCACGTGCAGCCCGTGTGCCACCACGATGTCAAGAAGCAGCTGCTGGAACTTCTCCATCAACATATCCTGTCGAGAGATGGTGGTGTCCGACATTCGGGTATCTTTTTGGGGCACCTTATTCTGAGGGAATACTACGATTCTTGTCGTAAGGTTCAAGAAGTGGGTACTCACAGAAGCTTACCTTTGCAGTGTAGGATGAAGGGCATCTGGAGCAACCCCAAAGAGGATTTTAAAAAAGGTGTGGGTTGAAAAGGTTCCAAGGGCACCCCGTGCTTCAGGAAGCTTCCCTGTTCTCAGGGTGTAGACGCACCTTACTGACTTACTGATGGAGTAAATGATAACAAATTTGATCAGCCTTCTTTGCAAGAACTGACGGTTACCTTATATACTTTAAACATACAAGGCCCGAGGCCCCATACCCAGCCCCGGCCTTGAGATGCTTGATCTTGGGCTGAAACGAGGCGGCAATGGTGAATTCCAGCACGAGCATGTTCTTCGACAGTATTTCCTGAAATTTTCAAGCGGGCTCACGGACAGGGCTCAGGGTTCTGAATTTGTTGGCCCCCCGAGTTTGAGACGTAGGGCCTTCTTTATGCATACAGCGGTCCTTCTCATAGGTAATCGACAACTTTTGTCACAGGATCTTATGAAGCTGAAGACGCGCATCCCTTACAAAGCAAATCTTCAGGCTCCTGAGGTCCACAGATAGGCAAAATGTTCTAGGGCAAAGGCGTCGAAAACAAGCTCCCTTCATCACAAGCCCACAGGGTCAAAGTCTCCGCACTTGGACCCTAAACCCTCTGAACCCTAAACCCTCCCTAAACCCTAAACCCTATCTCCACCGCAAGCCTTGACAATTTAGCCGGCGTCTAGAATACGTCACATCCACAGTCTGCTGGGTCTTGCGCCTTACCTCGAGGGTTTAGGGTGTAGGGGTTTACGGTTTAGGGTCAGCTTGTAGCTTACATACTCTTCTGCAATCAAGGCCAAACCCCCCACAGAGTATGGTTTCTTGGCAGGTTCACAGTGTTATTTGAAGACGTTCTGGGTTCGGTGCAGCACAGGTACTGGGGAGCTTTGGGTCGTGACTTCAAGTTTGTCCCGACCGAAGTCGGTTCAGGGTTTAGGGTTCATGGTTATGGTTTCAAATTGGGATGTTCCCCTTGTCACTAGCAATCCTTAATAGAAATTTCCCATGTGCTCTTAGCAATAGTTGCTAAAATCGATGCACCAAGCAACTACGAAACCTCCTGGACAACCCAAAACCATACAGCCACAGCTGAAGAGGCGCCCAGAGAGGCCTCTTGGCTGCTTTGTATCCTGGGCCATGCAGGCACAAGGGTTTAGGGTTTAGGGTTTAGGGTTTAGGGTCAGCCACGGGACTGGGACCTATCAACGTACCACTAGTGAAGCAGGATACTACAGCTCATTAGCCGCTACTTGTCCAGCCACCCAGGGAACTACAGGTGACCCTTGGCTCTGGGATTTTGATGCTACCGCCTCCTGCGATCCTGTCCCCACTAATCAGCTGCAAGCAAAACATGGTTAAAGGCTAGCTAGAGTAACCTATATACCCTTTAAACAAAAAAACGAAACAAGTCAAGGAGTCATCATCAAGGTCAAGGTCCCTACAGTAAGCTTGAGAAAGTTGGAAGATCTTTTCAGGATGATGGGAGCTAGGCATTCCCGTTGGTATTGCTTTAATTTGGGGCATTGGGGGGGGGGGTAGGATTGGCTCAACTTCAAGCCATAAGCCCATGGTACACAGCCCAGCTGCCATCTTCGGCGACGCCCTGGTCGTCACCCGAATCGTCTGGATGCTGCTTGCCTGGCTCCATTTACGCAAAGACATGAGGGAATGCCCAGGCAGATAGGGATCTAAGGGACCTGTGGGCAACCCGCACAACAATGCGAACGCCCTTCGGGCGAGCATACTGCGAGAATTGTGTCTAGGGTTTAGGGTTTAGATCTGTAGCTCCCGGGTGATCACATGCAGGCGGGTTAGGCTTTAGGGTTTAGGGGAGTCCAGAATGTAGGGGGGGGGGGGGGCCCGCTTTATGTATGGGGGGCTTCAAGGTTCTGCAACTTCTACTGTTCGACTGCACAGACCCCAAGCTCATCTAAGCTCCCTGAATGCAGACATGTGGTGGTTTACGCTAATTAATAAGGGACCCCAAATCTACATCCCCACGTTGTAGGATCCCCTTATGATAAGGACCCAAAAAGGTACCCCTAAACCCTAAACCCTAAACCCTCATTTCGGAAAATCCCCAAAAGGTACCCCCCCCCACTCATTTTCGTAAACCTGAATCAAGATTCCCATATCTGCTGCGAAGCGTCGGAGGTTGTCAAGCTTCTGCTGCAGTTGGCGAAGCTCGCGCCCAGGGTACATCCAATTTAAGAACCTCTGTCGCAGCTGCATTCAGAAGGATCCGGTTTAGGGTTAGGGTTTAGGGTTTAGGGTCTATTCAGGTTTCAGGGTTTAGGGTCTTCTCAAAGAGCTGTCTTGCAAACCAAGAAGAACCGAAAGCCTCAACCCTTGATGTTCGGCTGTGCGCTTCGACTGGCAGAAGGGCTCGATTCAGAAGTCGGCTGTTCGCTCCGAAGATTCCATAAACAACGACAGTAAACCCCTACACTACGTACCATCCAGAGCCTTTAGGGAAGCATGAAACAGCCCAACTTAAAAACCCAAAACCCCATGAATCCTGCAAGCCCTCAACAAGCCCCGTGCGACACACCTAAACACCAAGCCATATGAAGCCCTAAACCCTCAGCCCTAACCCCTGACCCCTAACCCCTGAACCCTAAACCCTCAGCCCTGAGCCCTAAACCCTAAACCCTACACGTCCGAGCAGCTCGTGCAGCTCCAGGCTCCCGGTCTGTTCCAGATCCAGTCGCTCGTGGAGGTCGTCGCAAGCTTTTCCTTGCTAATCGCTGCAGGCAGTTTAGGTTTACTCGGCGCTATCTCTGAGTCCGAGCAACTGAGCGCGACTGCACTGTGAACCAGCACATCATCGGCACCATCCCCCAGCAGTATTGGAACTACAGGGCGGCATCCCAATTCACCAGCCGATCCGACAGGACATCCAAAGGAAAGGTTGAGATCTCAATGATAGGTTTAGGGTTTAGGGTTTTCTTGGCACCCGACTAGCCACAGCACAGCGGGGTTTGAGGTTTAGGGTTTAGGGTTTAGGGTTTAGGGACGAGAGTACTCATCGGGGGGTTCCGAAAATAGGGGTACCCTTTGTGAACTACTTTGGGAAATGCCCATAGAGTAACCTATATTTGCCCTAGGCCCTGAGCCCTTCTTTCTGCACAACTTCGAAGGCTTGTGCAGTTCCAGGAATTGCAGCATATTGGTCAACCCGCATGTGGTGGTGCCACTGAGCGGCGAGACAGCCGAATGCTGCAGGTCTCGACGACAAACCAGAACTCCTGCCAGCGCCAACGTGCCCGGCAAGCTCTCTATGGCACCTCATTTGCCCTTCTACCGACCTGTCTGTCTGCCGAATTAACGGCTTATGTTCTGTGCAAGCAATGCTGTTGCTGCTCGTGTGCTATCTACCTAAGTCCACAACTCTGGCACTCTCTTCTTCTTCTTCCTCCTCTTCTTCTTCTCCCCCTCCCCGCGCACTGGGCGCGCCCAGCCACTGATTCTCCCTCTCTCTTTTCACCTGTCTCTCCTTCCTTGGTTTTCTTTTCAACTTGGCGTCGAGGTCGATTGAGCCGGCCGAAGCAGGAAATTTGACGACCCCGATTGGCCCGAGCAGCTCTCTGACCCGTGTGAGCTGCTTCTACCATGGCCCCCTTTCCCCCATGAGACTGCCCTGACGACACCCTACTGTGCGCGTAGCTGCGAGCGACTTCCACTGCCCTAAGTCCCGGTGGCGACATGCCTCTTCCACAAAAAAAGTCTCTTTCAACCCTGCCTCATCCTGTCGCTGAGGTGGGTGACTCATGGTGACTCTACTTCTATAATTTCTAAGAAGCATGCATTTCAACTATGGCATTGGACCTCCTTGCTGATCAGGAACTGCTGCGAGAAGCCCTGCCGCAGTCGGCATGTCAGGTGGGAAAGCTAAGATTCACGACTTCCACTTTCAAACCATTCCAACAGTTACTTAGGAGTGAACTCCGGACCTCCCAACGCCACTGCGTGGCTCAAGTGCTACTGCATCTGAGGCACAGTTCCAGGCGTTGCACCCAAGTTTGTCAAGAGCCTGTTGGCGGCTAACAGAAGCGTCAGCAGGGAGTGTGCGCGTATACAAGGGTCAGTCTTGGGGATAATTGCTCAGGTTACCTACATCAATCTGTGGTCCACGTCGGCAGGCGGCATGCGTATTCGACTGCCCGTGATCTCTAGCGGCCCTAACCCCGAATCCATCCAAAAAGCCAACACCAAACCATTCCTAAATGATGCCTTCAACCCACAGGCCCCCCCCTCCCACTAGCTTGGGACGTCGGGTTGCGCCACACCCTACCGAAACCCGAAACTCTCAACCCTAAACAGGACCAAGCTCGAAGAGAGGATCGCAAATCCCGACTCAACCTCGAGGTGAAACTCCCTTTGAGGCCCCAGCTCGCGCAGGTCGGCTTCCTTGACCTCCAGCTGAGGCTCAGGTCGAAGAACTCTCGACTTGTGAGAGAGAGATCTATATATATATATATATATATATAATATCTACTATTACTATTGTTGTTATTATTATTATCATTACTATAGAGAGAGAGAGAGAGTTTAGGGTTTAGGGTGTAGGGTTATGGGGGGGGGTTCCGAGAATAGGGGTGGGGTTCTATTCAGATACTAAAAAGGGGTACCCCTATTTTTGGCACATGCCCAGTAGCATGATCTTGACTATCCAGAATAAGTACCATTCCGATAAAACGGCCTCTGCATTGGAGGCTTCTGTGGAAGACGTGGGTGGTTCAGATATCGTGCTTCATTATGTGGCTTCGCGCAATACAGCGCTTTCACCACCTGACACACACCTGCACGATGACCCGAGTCCTACCAGCTTGAATGCCCACCTGAAAGAAAGCAAGCCCCACACTGAGCCCAAAACTCTCCGAAATGCTGATGCTCACCACCACCAACCACCTCCACCACCAACACTACCACCACAGACGCGTGACGGTGTGGAACCGCCGCCGGATGTCGCTGAAGTAGTTGTTGCAGGAGCTGAAGGCCCAGCCTTGTTTTAGTGGCCCTAAACCCTAAACCCTAAACCCTAAACCCCAAACCCTAAACCCTAAACCCTAAACCCTAAACCGGGTGTCTTAGGCTTCTTTGGCTTCCGGGAGCTGGACCTGGGATCTGAATAGGGTATCTCCTTAGAAGGAAGATCAGAATCCCCATTCTGCCCAAGAAAGGAAGATCATCGTCCCTAGATTTTTCACTTATTATATGAAGATAGTAGTCCCTTTATCGTCCTTATACGAAGTATGCGGATGTTACAGAAGATCAACGGCCCCGAGCACCAACATGCCTGTGACTTAGGGTTTAGGGTTTAGGGTTTTAGGAAACATCCCGGCTGAAAGGCGAAGGTTCGTTTGGCAGCGCATTCCCCCCTGCTTCCGGAGTTTCAGGGTTTTTGGGGCTCGCAAGGCTTTGCCCTTGGATTTCTTAGAGGCATGAGCCGCAAGATTCGGAATTCCGGTTGCCAGAAGCCGGGCAGCCGAGAAATTGATCTTGATCTAGTACTCCGACCGTCTCGTGGTCCTGGGGCTGCATAGCGGATTGCTTTTCGCACGTCGCCCTTCAAACAATAAGGGCCAGTTAAAACCCAAAAAAACAAGACATGCAAAGGCTGGAAGGGCACCACTGGGCATGCGTCAGCGTTCACCCCCCCACCCTATCCCCACCTGTGGTTCATGGTCTGTGGTTCATGGTGGTTTGTTTTTGCCGCCCGCCTAGCTGAACTGGCCATCCACATTGCAGGGATCTGGCTTGACCAGGAGCTGAGGAGTTTGTGTGCTTAGATATTTCGAGTTTAGGAGTTTGAGGTTGAGGTTTCGGTTTAGGGTTTCCTCTCTCCCCCAGGTTCGTGCTGGGACCGGGTGGCTAGGGTACGATGGTTGAACCGCTAGCCATCTCACTGATGAGCAAGTGAAGCTGAAGGTGGAGCCCCACCTCTAAACCCTAAACCCTAAACCCTAAACCCTAAACCCTAAACCCTAAACCCTAAACCCTAAACCCTAAACCCACACCCTAAAGCCAAACCAGGCTCGGCCTCAGGGGGCTGGTTCCGAAGTTGAGACTTCAGGAGGCCCATGCGCAATGAAGGGTTTAGGGTTTAGGGTTTAAGGTGAGTTCAGGGATCACAGCTGCTAGTAAAGGGAAGGAAGTACCGGAAACAGGGCTTGAGGGCTTGGAAGTTACATGAGCTATTGCGGGCTAGGGGCCAAAGCATCGAAGATTGCGTCGCACCATTCGCTGCTGATCTGCTCCTCGACGCAGCTGGGGCTTCTGGAAAGGGCTACAATGAGACCGCTTCGGCACAAGGCAAGCCGCCAACTTACCCGTTGCTACCGCGAGGTAGGGCGTTGCTGAACCGGCTGCGAAGAAAACCACCTTCTTGCAGGATGTTGAACACATTGGGGGGTTTACGAAAAATAGGAAACCCTAAAACAGCCCCCCATATGGTAGGATCCCCATATAATAAGGGACCCCAAAAAGGCACCCCCTATGTTCGGAACCCCCATTTTAACTTTTGCCATCTCAGACTTGGGTGATGGGCTTCCACGGTTCACATGTCATGATTTGTTAGTAATGGCTCTTGGCAGTATGTTTGGTGCGGCCGAGCCGTCACCGCGTAGATCCACGTTAGCCAGCGTAGTTTCTGCGGGAAGCAATATCAGCATGCTGGGCTTGGGCTTGGGAACGTACGCAACTGCGATGCGAGGATCGTCAAGAACATGCTCAAACACCTTCCTTCGCAGGCCAAACTAGCTAGGCATTTCCGGCACTTCTTGCTGCTTTCTTCGAGGGTCTGACAGCCTTGTTCCACCTCGTTTTGCGGCACTATCGGCAACAGCATCATCCCCACACTACTGGAACCTTTAAAAGCGTTTTCAGCGGAGTGTGGACATTAGATGTGCGTTGGACATCCACGTGGGTGGCACTGCTTATACACAGCAGGCACTAAGTCTGCTTTCCGATTGCTTCGACTTGATGGAAACCCCATAGTTAAACTGTGGCAAAAGTTCCCATACCAGCCACTTGGCGCGCCTTGCCCTGGCATATCGCAAAGAGCATCTCCGAGAATGCCCGTCGATCTAACAGGCCTTGTGCTGCTTGTCGTTTGGAAGGCAACCTATGTACATTTGCGGCGTTTCTAGGTCTGAAAGGGATCTGTTTCATGATCTACTGTGCCACGTACCCATGCAATAACCAAGCACAACATGCAGTACACCCATCTGATGCAGCACGTATGTTTAAAACCAGCATGAGAGTAGTCATAGGAAATAGCAGTGACAACAACAGAAAAGTAGAATGATGGAAAATGAAATCGAACCAGCAGAGGCAATACCTACATTTTCTCTATAAGCTTGTATCAAAAGAGGATGTTCCTACCTCAAGACCTCATCCTGCACTCACCGCAACCTTGATAGAAACCCTGTTCTTCAGAGAGGTCTGTAGCACTCCATGAATTCGGGGGATATGCATGTCCTGAATGTCATGGCCATGGCAAAGCCTGACCCAAAACTGAGAGCCCGCCTGTGCTGCCATGCGCCCGCACCTGCACCACAACATCGCTTACTTGGTAGGGAAGTTGGGAATTACCCCCCCAAAGTATGCAAAAAAGGTAAAAGAACGATTATTGTCCGTGTCGTGGCGGATTCGGCCGGTACTGCAAATGATTCCTCGCAAGGGTCATGCAGGGGAAGCACCTAACTCCCCCCAATTCCCTATTACGAGACCAAGCCCTAGTTGCACCAACCTCTTCCTTGCCTGGGTTTAGGGTTTAGGGTTTTTTTCGGGTTTAGGGCACTGAACTTCTTTGCCTAAGCCCTCGCTGCTATATAAGCGCAAGCAAGAGTGCCGTGAATGGGCTTTCGGTTCAATACTAGGGGAGGAACTACCCCTACCAACAACAATCAATGCAAAAGCCGCCGGGGAAGTCCCATACCACGGCGATGTAGGTTTAGGGTTTAGGGTTTCGGGTTTAGGAAACCCCTCGCTCCGATGCCTAGCTGGGGCTGCAGGTGATACTGATGCTGTTGACTAGTTTCCGAACTCGCCCCGAAACATGTCAGAAGCACCCCTAAACCCCAAACCCTAAACCCTGAACCCTGAACCCGGAACCCTGAACCCTGAACCCTGAACCCTAAACCCTAAACCCTAAATAACATGGGGTCCGGGTTCTCTCGCTTTCTCTGCGTCCCCTACGGTTCTGCAAAAGGCGGCTTCGGGCCATCGTTTCGTGAGTCTGCGGATGACATCATCTAGTAACATAACTTCAATATAGCCGTGTACAAAATCATAAATACAATGAGAAGATAGCTAAATACAGTACTGAGTGTTTCATAACATATCAATATACAAACATCATAAACCAACATGAGAATAGCAATGCAATACATAAAGGAATTTAGTACAGTAGTGTAATCATATAGCAATACAAAATGTAACAATATAACTATAAGAATATAATTATATTCACATAAAAAGATAAACATATACTAAAATCATGAACGAACGCAATAATACAATAGTGAAACCAGCCATAAGCTTATGTCCAGCCCGGAAATGGGATCCTGAGGCGCCACACAACCCGAAGTCCAATCCGAGAACTGGAGCCTCCAAAACCTCCCTTTTGGCTGCATAGTATGAGTCTGAGAATATAAAAATATTGTAGTAAAAACTACTATATTTATATAATAAGAAAAAATGGTTTTTGTGGGGTCCTTAAGTGACCTACAGGAAAAAGCATGGTAGAAAGGGACGAGGCCCACAGAAGCAAAGGGCCTTGTCGTAGTACTGGAAGAAGTCTATGGCCGTTGGGATGTCCAGTGCCTTGACCGCTTGTGGCAGCCTCAGGAAATAAAACCTTTTACATCCAGGCCTCTGAGGAAATAAAACCTAAACCCTAAAACCCTAAAACCCTAAAAACCCTAAACCCAAAACCCCACTAAAAGGCCCTAAAAGATAGGCCGCAGTGCGACCATAGCGCTGCAATAAATTTATGGCCTTCTAGAGGCAACCCGAGCTTGGGATTAATTACCTTGGAGCACTCTCCGAGCCTTGCTAGGGTACATGAAGCCTGAACCCTGTCTAGGGTTCAAGGCAAGACTCGACATCTTCCATCCTGACCTCCTGAAGGCCCTCTAAGGGCGTTGTGGGCTGAGGGGTTGCAGTGGCCTTTCGTGGATTGCAATAGGCCTTGATCTGGCCTAAATCCCAGAACAAGTAGGTTAGGGTTTAGGGTTTAGGATCTACATGGGACGGCTTCGGGGGTTTCTGGGTGAGGTTTAAATCCAAGAGTGGTTTGTGGCGGAAACTGTATCGAAGTTGAATAAAAAAAGTAACCGCGCCTTAATGATCCGTGCATCTCGCCTTGCTTGAGGCTATGCAGGCTCTTCTTGGCAGGGTATACTTAAAATGTTCTTATCCTCTTGTAAATAGTAGAAAAATCACATTGGGAAATCATTTTTTGGCACATATTAGAAAAGTATATCAGCAAATTAGTATATGATGACCTTAGTATATGAAACAAATATTAACAAGCTAGTACATTATTGGGTTTGGAACCCAGGCTTCTGCAGAAGCTTGGGCGCGAGCAGCTGCCGGCCAGGAAAGACCTCGGGATCCTGGCACATGGGCGGTGGCTGCCAAACAAAAACCCCCTGTTTCTTTTGCAGTTCCAAAAAACCCTCAACCCTAAACTCTGTTCTTTTTCTGTAGCTCCTAAACTCTCAACTCTTAGCCCTCAACTCTTGCTTTGAACTTAAGAACCCTAAACCCTAAACCCTAAAGCCTAAACCCTAAACCCTATGACCAGTGGTAACTGAGTCCCCCAGCCGTGCCCTTCGACAGTAGCCAGGGCGGCAGTGCGATAAGAGCACAACAACAGCTGTACCTACTTGGAGGTTCAGGGTACTTTTAACCCCAATTATAAGTAGTGTAATTATAAGCCGCCTTAGTCCCCTAAGTAGGTTATAAGTAGTAAGTACCCATGAACCTCCAAGTATCTTACCTTGATTGTAAGGTTTCCACCCCAAACCCTGAACCCCAAACCCTGGTTTCCAAAACAAACCCGGAAAACGATGAAGAAAACAGCAGGGACATGTCCTAAGATTTAAGAAGAGCCCAGAGAACTACTGGGCATCCGCGGCCCCCGAAAAGCCTCGCAAAGACCCCTAAGGATGTACCCCTAAGAGGTTCCCTTCATCTATATATATATATATATATGTATATATATGTATATATATGCTCACCCCCCCCCCCCCCTCGACAGACCCCCGGAAGCAAAAAAAGGGCTGAGGGCGCGACGGACAGCATAGCTGCACACAGTAGCCAGACACGTTAACAAACAATAGAGATATATGGTACCCCCCCTCCCCAAAGATCTATACTTTTTTGCTTTGCTTAATGCCTTTGATGTTTTTCTCTGTTGTTGTATGTTTTTCTTTTGTTGTCTGTTAACCCTATGTGTTTCTATTTTAAAACCCTTATTGAAATATTGAATGTCCAGAAGGGTTGGCATTATTGAAACCCTTATTGAAATATTGAATCAACAAGGGTGGTCATTATTGAAACCCTTATTGAAATATTGAATTTCAATAAGGGTTGGCATTATTGAAACCCTTCTTGAAGTATTGAACTTCAATACGGGTGGTCATTATGGAAACCCTTATTGAATATTGAATTTCAATAAGGGCGGAACCAAGAACTAAGAACTAAGACTGCCAGGGGCTCTTGGTCTGAGTTCTTAGTTCCTAGTACAGCCCTTATTCAAATTCAATATTTCAATAAGGGTCTTAAAATAGAAACACATAGGTTTGGATTCTTAGTTCCTAGTACCGCCCTTATTGAAATTCAATATATTTCAAAAAGGATTTCAATAAGAGGTAACCCAGGAACTAAGAATCCGTACCGGATAGAGGTCTCATTCGTTTGAAAGGAATTCCTATTGCATATTCATTTAGTAGGATTGTACTAATTCTTGTTAAACGAATCTTATTTTTCATAGGAGTCCTATTAATTCCTATTAATCTTCACTGCGTTCTTTTGATTTGTTAAGGGTTCCTATTCAATTTAATGGGCTTTCTACTAGCTTCCCCGATAAATTTCGTAGGAGCCCGAAAGATTCCTACTTATTTTCATAGGATTCCAGTGAAGTTTCATATGGTTCCTAATTATTTTGATAAAGCTCCTACTACTGCAATAAGACTCATATCAATTTCAGAGCTCTTACTCATGATATGTGGATTCGTATTAATTTTAATAGGGATCTGATTCATTTGAAAGGGATTCCTATTGGTTTAGGCTCATATCATTTTTAATAGGATTCCTATTAGTTAAGGGTTCACATTCGTTATAGGAGTCCCATTGGTTCCTATTAATTGTAGTAGGGGTCCTCTTCAGTTTATTAGGATTCCTATCAACTATCATAGGGTTCTCATTAACGTGGGCAGAAGCGCAGCATCAAGCACTTTTCCTCGCACTTCCGTAAGCAACTCCAGTAGCTGTTGCTAGCATAGCTCTCTGTGTTTTTAATATATTTCATATTTCTCATGAGTGTAGAACCCCTAAAAGAATCTCACCAAAACCTGAGTTTCCAAAAATCCAAAAATCCAAAAATCCCAACCCAAGTTTCGGATTTTTGGAAACTCGAGGAATTTGCTCAAAATCCAAAAAACCCAAAATTCCTCGAGTTTCCAAAAATCCAAAAATCCAAAAATCCCAACCCCAGTTTCGGATTTTTGGAAACTCGAGGAATTTGCTCAAAATCCAAAAAAACCCAAAATTCCTCGAGTTTCCAAAATTCCAAAAATCCAAAAACCCAACCCCAGTTTCGGATTTTTGGAAACTCGAGGAATTTGCTCAAAATCCAAAAAAACCCAAAATTCCTCGAGTTTCCAAAATTCCAAAAATCCAAAAATCCCAACCCCAGTTTCGGATTTTTGGAAACTCGAGGAATTTGCTCAAAATCCAAAAAAACCCAAAATTCCTCGAGTTTCCAAAATTCCAAAAATCCAAAAATCCCAACCCCAGTTTCGGATTTTTGGAAACTCGAGGAATTTTGGGTTTTTTTGGATTTTGAGCAAATTCCTCGAGTTTCCAAAAATCCGAAACTGGGGTTGGGATTTTTGGATTTTTGGATTTTTGGAAACTCGAGGAATTTTGGGTTTTTTTGGATTTTGAGCAAATTCCTCGAGTTTCCAAAAATCCGAAACTGGGGTTGGGATTTTTGGATTTTTGGAATTTTGGAAACTCGAGGAATTTTGGGTTTTTTTGGATTTTGAGCAAATTCCTCGAGTTTCCAAAAATCCGAAACTGGGGTTGGGATTTTTGGATTTTTGGATTTTTGGAAACTCGAGGAATTTTGGGTTTTTTTGGATTTTGAGCAAATTCCTCGAGTTTCCAAAAATCCGAAACTTGGGTTGGGATTTTTGGATTTTTGGATTTTGGAAACTCGAGGAATTTTGGAGTGGTGCTCTTCCCCCCCCCCCGCTTCCTGGACAGATCGGAAATACAAGTCCGGGGTCTGTCGAGGGGGGGGGGGTGACCATATATATATATACATACTCCGAATATGGCCCTTATTGTTCCCTTAGAGGATCTTAAAAAAGGGTGGCCCCCAAACCCAAGGGTGCAACCTTAAGGGGGTCCAAGCTACAAACCCTAATCCCGAAACCCGAAACCATACACCCTAAACCCTAAACCCTAAACCCTAAACCCTAAACCCAATACCATGACAGAAAGCCTTGTCCACGCCCAAGCCGAGCTTGGAGTTGGAGTTGGTCTTGCGCTTGCGGAGGAAAGTCTCCCGCGCCTGCGCTTGGGTGTAGGGCCGGTCGCTATGGGCCTTAGGGTTTAGGGTTTAGGGTTTTTTTTTGCCACCCGCCTAGCCGACCCCACTGGGATCACTCCGCAGGGAACAATCGTAGTCTCACTCGTGTGTGTCATAAGCAAAACGGGCCCCGAAGCATCCCCAACTCGCCACCGCCCACGCACCATCACAACAAACTGAGCTACCACAACACGTCATCATCACGGGCGAGGGGGCTGTGTCCAGGCCAGGTTCTTCAGGTCATGCCCGTCGCCCTGTTGATGCGACGCATGCCCTGGAACCCCTTGACTTGAAACACTAGTTTCCGCTCTGCCCTCACAGCTTGGTGTCCCGAGCCCCTGAGATGTCAGCACCAGCCCTACAACGAAACACAGTTACACCCCTTTATACAGTTCCAGGTCATCGGGCTCGGCGACACTTGAGGCACAGCGAAATGTTAGGGCTCATTAGGCACTCGTTTTGTGTGCCTGGCCCCCTGTAAAGTGTGACCGGGCTCCTTCACTTGCAGCCCTCTGTCCATGGAAAAATCGCAACCCTACCTTCCTGTACAAAGCGCCGTCGTCCCGTTGCTACCCCGTGCTGCAGTCAACTTCCGAGGGAAGACGTGGCTTTTGTCCTATTCGGAGCACCAAAACACCCAAACAGCCATCCGCAACACATCACCAGTTTCGACCGCCACGTCTTACCCTCTTTTGGCTGTTCCTCACTCGTACCTACAGGTTTTTCACAAGACGATGGCCCGTTGATCTGTGCCCAGTCAGTGCCCTTCGCCATCGATTTGTGCAAACCTATAATGCCTAGCAGACATGGCTGGAGGCACCAAATCGAAGCACCAAAACACCCGGACAGCCATCCTCAACAGCTCACCAGTTTGCATCACCTCCATGTCTTGCCCCTATTTTGAGGGAATTAGCGTCTCCAGGCTTCCTACTCTACTCGGAAATTCCGGGGGAGGATGAGGTCTACGGCACCAAATAGATGCAACAAGACACCCCCACAGCCATCCATAACAGATCACCAGTTTCAACCTCCACTTCCTGCCCTGGTCGCGAGAGTTGGGTGTGAGGCATAAAACACAACTACGTCCCCTAAGTAGGAACCACAAGAATGGTCAGGCAAAGACCCCCTCTCCTATGTGTGTTCGCATTGAATTGCTTAATTTTCTACCCACGTGCATCGAATTGTTGCAGGCAACCACGTGCATTGAATTGTTGCAGGCAGCGTGCGGTTTTGGGAGAAAACATGTCACACCCTATGTTTTCACACCCAGGGTATCCACCCAAACCTTAGCTGGGACCCATTATAACCGCATGCAGGCCGTGTGTGCGTTGCAGGACGATCGAATTTCTCTCTCACGGGGGGACTCACCGGCATGTCATATCGGGGTGCGGGCCAGGCTAGTTAACGGGGGTTTAGGGTTTAGGGTTTAGGGTTTAAGCAGGGGAGCGGCAAAAAGATTCTCGACAAAACTGTAGTCCTTGTTCTGGGAAGCCCCAAATGGTCACTTTTGGGAAGCCCTCATACGGGCTTGCTTGTAGAGGAGGCTTGTGCTTCAGGGGAAAAGTAAGTACTAAGAATCGTTATGTGACCGGAGACTAACAGTCAAAGCAAGCGAGCACCACCAAGCAGCACAAAGAAGTCCAGAGACCCACAGCCCTCAACATGTCCTGTAACCCTCCGTCACTCTTGAAGCGGGCAAATGCCTGGGACTCTATTTACCTACAGTGTAGTAGTAACTGCCCTGAATTGTTAGGTATAACCCATACAAAACTGTAGGTACAGACGGTCCCCGGTCGTCCTAGCGGGCTGACACTTCGAAAGCCACCCCCCTCATCTGCCAGCGGGAGTGGGCCTTGTTCCTCATCGAATCCCTGAAGGTTGGAATGATCTGCGGCTTTGCTTTGGCCTGCGCAGAGAACATGCGTGAGCAAGGGCCTCTCATGCAATCTGCTACCACCCTAGAAACCCTAAGCCCTCCTACCCTAAACCCTAAGCCCAAAACCCTTTCTGTGGAGACTGTGGGATCCTGGATGGCAGCACACTTCAGGTTAGGTTGGATTGTCTGAAGTGGTCGGAATGTTCTCGTGATTTGATCCGATTCTGCAAGGTCCGGAAGTACCCTAACCCCTCAGAAATGCACCGCCTCTGCTTCGGTCTTGCTTGGGACGGAGGCGCGCCGTTTCATCGCTTTGGAAGGTGATCGCTCCTGGAGGCAGGAAGGGGTCTGGGTTAAGGACTTTAGGGGCTTGCGACTCTCTGGGCGAGGCGAAGGCGATCTCATGCGGTTTTGGGTTATCATTGTGCCTTTTGGAACCCGACGTTCGATGCTCACCCTCTCACGCGGCTGCCGAAGCAACTGACCGGAAGTCTGACTAGACTAGAGGGAAGCTTGACGAATCAAGGTGGCACTATGATAACCGGACCAGTACAGTCCATTTACACAAAAAGAGAAAGGGAGGCAGCTCCCAGGCATCTGATTCAAGCTACTCGATTGACATTGCAACAAAGAACTCAGCATCACAGCTCTTTAGGTGTCCCTAAGGTGCGGGCTAAGCCGTGTGCACACGAAGGCTGCATCAGTGACAACGTGACTGACTTGTATCGTCGTGGTGGTGAGGGAGCAGTAGCAGCAGCAGCGGAAGTAGAAGTAGCAACAGCGTCAGTGGCAGTGATAGAAATTACCATTCGCAACTTCAACTAGCAATTCCGTAGTAGAAAAAGACATTTGGGAGTGGCAGTCGTGCTCGAAATGTCCATTGGAAGAATGATGAGAAACAGCAAGAGGCAGTAACAGCAATAGCAAGAGCAACGGTGCAAGTGGCGATTATGAACCGGCCAATGTATAGTTTGTTCAAGTCAAAATGATCGTGTTCGTGCTATGCATCAGAGTCTCCTGCTGAAGAGCAGCACTGGGAAGGGAATCATGCCAGCTAGCTACTCCCTTACACCGGCGGCCTGCAACAGCTGCACATGACATACTACCCCAACTGTAGGGGAAAGAAGACATGAGAAACTGCTCCCAACTTCCCTAAACCCTGCCAGCAAGCTTCCAAGTCAGCCCCTCTGGATTCAACAAGCCCCAAAGGTCCGAACGGCCACTCTTCCCACGTCTCCTCTTCGTTGCCTTCCTTCGGGGTTTGGACCTGTGCTCCCCAGCTGCTACCTACGTCTGTAGACCTTTTTATGCGCCAGCATACACGAAAAAACCCTTAGTTTGTTTACACCCGGCTGCAGGTCTCGCTTAGACGCGGCCAACTCTAGCGCCAATACTTTCTGCTGCTCCCAGGTTTGGGGTTCCCCCCCCCCCCCCCCCCCACGCATGGTCTGTGGTTCATGAAGGTTCGGCTGAAGGGTTTATTTAGGGTTTTCACACCGACCCATGGTGGGTCTAGGGTTGTAGGCGAAGAGTACTCATCACCCCCTGTGGTTCGTGGTGATTTTTTGACACCGCCAAGCAGACCAGCCACACTATGGTTTAGGGATCAGGGGTCTCTCCCCTCTGGTTCGTGGTTGTTTCGGGGGCTTAGGTTTACCCCTCTTCCTGTGAGGTTCGTGGTGGGTTTAGGGTTAACGGTCGGGTTCTGGAAGGGGGGGGGGGGGGGATACCATTGGTTGGGAGGGGGAGTCGAGAACGCGAAGCGGGCGGAGACGCAAAAAAAGGGCCGCGCCAACGTCGATGCCACAAAGAGAGAACCCTAAACCCTAAACCCTAAACCCTACACCCTACACCCTAAACCCTAAACCCTAAACCCCTGCTACGTCGCCGCCTGTGGTACCGCAAGCCTGGTTGCATGGATCTTCGGCAGCTGGTCGGAGGAGACTCTGGACATGTCACCACATGTCTGAAGATCCCTCGTGCAGTGAAGGTCTCCCAAAAGGAAACAAGTAAACCAGCCCTAAACCCTAAACCCTAACCTAAACCCTAAACCCTAAACCCTAAACCCTAAACCCTAAACCTGCCAGGTTGTGCTGGGCTGGGGGAGCTGCAGCTTTGGCACCTCTCTGATGACAGGGGGGGGGGCCCTCATTTCTTTCTGGATAGGTTTAGGGTTTCTGCAGCACCATCTAGGTTTAGGGTTTAGGGTTTAGGGTTTATTGTTTCGGTTTAAGGCTCCTGTATTGAACGGTGGCCCCGCCTGTAGCTGCGGGGGCGTCGCCAAAGTCTGCCGTCGAGCCTTGTCGAAGAGAGCGAGATCTAAGCCTGGACACAAGTAGGGTTTAGGGTTTAGGGTTTTGCCACCCGCCTAGCTGGGTTTAGGGTTTAGGGTTTAGGGTTACTATACTAACTTCGGTTAGAGGATTCATAACGTAAATACGACTTATGGCACAATTAAGGGCCCCTACATGCAGGCTGACCGGACGCTTGGTTGAGGGGCCAGCAGCTTTCCGGCGCGGTTTAGCAGTTTACGGCTGTAATCTTGTGTTTTGCACGCTGCGATATGGCATGGGAATTCGGCAGTCAGGTGGGTTGCCACCCCTAAACCCTAAACCCTAAACCTTAACCCAAGATCGGGGGCTTTTTGAGTCCAAAGCCAGCCTTCTTGGCCAGGCGGCTCAAACTCCTGACAAGGTTTACCCCTAAACCCTTTTTACCCTTTTTACCCTAAACCCTAAACCCTAAACCCTCAACCCTAAACCCTCAACCTTGCCGAAGACCCTTCGACCTCCTTGCAGCCCTGGCTACCCAAGCAAGCGCCCGAAGAGAGCTGCCGCTGCCGCGGGGGCAGCTTCGGCTTCTCCTCCTTTTGAAACTAGGGTTTAGGGTTTAGGTTTTAGGGTTTAAGCTTAGGGTTTAGGGTTTAGGGCTCTTTTGGCTGTCTATAGGGTGTGTTTTCCTCGTGTGACTCGTGTTTACACCCCAATAGTGTTGGGTGTCTGTGGCGGTGTTTGTTTCGTGTGCTTAGGACTGCGGACAAGGGGCCCAAAATAAGATCAACTCCAACGTGCTTGTTGGGGATATGCTGTCGGGGCTCCACAAAGCCAATCTGAAGACTGCAGGCTTAGAACCTGCCTAGAGCATGCCGTAGAGGAACCAAATGAGCTTCAACAAAGTATAGCACATACATGACTGAAAAATATCCACAGAGACCCTGTATATGGAAAAATGAGATATCTTAGAAAGTATATTCTAAACTATATTGTACTCTAATATAAAAAAATATATATACTACTATACGACATTAGACTATATTATGTATATA